AACCAATCCAGAATTTGGATCAGAAGCCTTCCAAAGTCAGGGAAGACCCTGAAGCGATTTGATGGAAGGAGCTAGGGTACCACTGCTGTCCAACCTCTTGTCAATTTTACAACTTCAACTTCTGGAATGCTGGCTGGGGAATTCTGGAAGTTGAAATCCACAAGTTTTAAAATTGCCAAGTTAACTCCTATGTTAGGGGATAATATGGGTGGTTAGGAATCACTTTTTACCACTAATCAAATATGAATATTCATAGGTCTGGGGTACCAAGGGGTCCTTCCTTCGAGTGCCTTGATTTGGGAAATTTTAAAAAGCAAAGGGCTGCAATGAAAATTATGGGGAGAAAGCTACCTGGAGAGTTTCAGGATTGGGAAGGGGCGTGCGATAAACAGGATGAGATGATCCATTCGATCTCTAATCCTGATCATCAGCAGTAAGGAAGGAACCTAGTTCTAGCCGGATGTGATCACCACATCCTGGGGACGAAGCCCTGCAGTGATTGAGAAGGAGGGGAAGGGATTTGTTTTCGGAGGAAACTTTTCTGACAGAAAGAAGTTGTGTTTCTTTGGAATCCGCAGAATTTGGGCTCTCTGGAAGATGAATCCGCCATTTTAAATCACAGCCTTGTTTCCCAGGACTCATAATTCATTGATTTGCTTTCCTGACAGAAATGACCCTGTTGATGATTGTCCTGTGGGGCAGCCAGGGAATGCCAACTACACGCCCCCAAGAGGAAGATTTTCGGGGGTTGAGTGAACTATATTGTAAAGCAGAAGCGTTACTTCGAGAATATAAATCCGTAAGTATTCTGGACTGATGCCCCCTGCCCTGGTTGATTATTAGGAGCGGACCCCTAACCCCTAAAGAGGCTTTGGGCTTCCATTCCTCCTTCCTGCTTAGCAAGTCGAACTGAGATGTCTGTCTTCCTCTTCGTCTCTTCCTCATGCAAGACCAGAGCTCCTTATGTCTTCAGAGTGGCAGATGTTAAAAATCAGAATCAGATTAGAGCTGGAAGGGACTTTAAAGGTCTTCTAATCCACCCTATACCATTTCAGACAAGTGGCTGTCCAGCCTCTTCTTAAAAACCTCCAGTGATGAAGCACCCATAATTTCTGAAGGCAAGTCCTTCCACTAGTTAATTGTTTGGAAGTTCATCCTTAATTCCAGGTTGCTTCTCTCCTTGATTACTTTCCATCCATTGCTTGTCCTGCCTTCTGGTGCTTTGGAAAATAAGTTTTCTTCTCTTTGTGGCAGCTTCTCAAATATATTGGAATTCTGCTATCATGTCACCCCTAGTCCTTCTTTTCTCTAGACTGGCCAAACCCAATTCCTGCAATCGTTCTTCATACATTTTAGTTTCCAGGCCTTTCATCATCTTAATTGTTCTTCTCTGAATTTTTTCCCCAAAGTCTCACTTCTTTCTAGTTTGGTTCAAGGGACAGACAGCAAGCCCATCTGGGGAACATCTGGAGAGGCAATTCTCCAGAGGTCCCCTTGATCAGAAGGACCATAAAATGTAGGCTGGTGTTGTTGGGTGGGAAACCGACTTGAACGGATGCAAATCTTTGGCTCCATTTCTGTAGGTTGATAAGAAACACTTGTCTACGGAAGCGAAGTCAAAAATGAAAACGGAGTTTTCCCAATCCAACTGCAATATCACCAAATCAGCAGAAGAATGTCAAGTTCTCCAGGAGTTCAAAGAGCTGTTTGACTGGTTGAAGAAGGACCATCAGCAAGATGAGCTATTGAAACCTGTGATGGGCTCTTTCACGTTGCTGATTGAGCTTCAGAACGATTATGTGAATCATACATGTTTAGAAGGAGCATCGGACAAAATACCACAGTTCAACTGTCCCAAGTACAGAGAAGAAGGGGACAGGCCCTCAAGAGAGAATATGTTCCACTATATTTTTGAACTGTATAAAACCCTCACACAAAAACTTTTGAGTTCAAAATTAAAGCTGGAACAGAGTAGCCCAAGCGAAGTGTGTAAAGCTAAGGGTAATTAAAAAAAACCTAAAACTGATTTTTACTAAATTAAGGAATGTAATTTATTATAGTTAGGTTGTTTTTATACATTTATAACTTTATATAAATTAAAAATTAAATCATCGTTAATGATATTCATTTACTATTTCTTAGAGAAAGTTTCTTTAGTTTTAGTTATTTTATTATATTTAAATCTATTTAAAATATTTGGATTATCAACTGAAGGAATGTATTCTTGAGTGGGAGTATTTTAATTTAAGGAATGCTATTAAGGTGCTACTGAAGATTACGTTTACTGTTTTCAATTAACATGTGTTAATTCTACATGAATCATGTCTTAAAAGCAAAAACAATATATTTATAATAAATAAATAAACTTTTATACAAAAATGGAACGCTTCCTTCTTGCAATTTGGAGACTATATTTTGATTATTTTAGAATAGAATAACAGGGTTGGAAGGGACCTCGGAGGTCTTCTAGTCCAACCCCCTGCTTAGGCAGGAAACCCTACACCACTTCAGACAAATGGCTGTCCAACATCTTCTTAAAAGCTTCCAGTGGTGGAGAGCATTCATAACTTCTGGAGGCAAGTTGTTCCACTGATTCATTATTCTAACAGTCAGGAAAGTTCTCCTTAGTTATAGTTGCTTCTCTCCTTGATTAGTTTCCAGCCATTGCTTCTTGTCCTGCCCTCAGGTGCTTTGGAGAATAGCTTGACCCCCCTCTTCTTTGGGGCAGCCCCTGAGATATTGGAAGACTGCTATCATGTCTCCCCTAGTCCTTCTTTTCATCAAACTAGACATACTCAGTTCCTGCAACCGTTCTTCATATGTTTTAGCCTCCAGTCCCCTAATCATCTTGGTTGCTCTTCTCTGCACTCTTTCCAGAGTCTCAACATCTTTTTTACATCGTGGCGACCAAAACTGGATGCAATATTCCAAGTGTGGCCTTACCAAGGCCTTATAAAGTGTATTAACACTTCACGTGATTGTGATTCTATCCCTCTGTTTATGCAGCCTAGAACTGTGTTGGCTTTTTTGGCAGCTGCCGCACACGGCTGGCTCTGCCGGCTTTTATTTCTGTCTTCCAAGGTTTTAGTTATTTTCGTCAATTAAGATGCTGAACTATTTCAAATTGGATTCTGGGTTTATATTCCACCTTCTTGAAAATCCTTCTAGAAGCATGGAACCCACTACTAATTCCCCCATGAAGTTTGATGAACGAAAATAATTACAACTTACAAGGGAGCTCCAAGGCCGTGGTTAAAGAGAGTTGCGCCCCATTTTACAATCTTTCTTGGCACAGTTGTTAAGCGAACCACTGCACCTGTGGTTGATTCAGAAGTGAATCACATGGTCGCTAACCAAATCCATCTTTCCCCAGTTGACTCTGCTTGTCAGGAGGTTGTAAAAGGGACATCACACCTTCATAAGTCCAGAGCAGTTGCTAAAGTAGCCAAATTTCAATCACGTGACCCTGGGGATGCTGCCAAGTGTGAACACCAGTCAGAAATCACTGCTTACGACGCTGTTGTAACTCCGAATATTCGCTAAGCAGACAGTCATATGTCAAGGACTTCCTGTAAGTGAAGAACATCCAGACAATTGACTTTTAGCAGCCCACAACCGAGGGCGAGGTAGAATTCTTCCCACAGGTATCTCATGCCATTCTTGCTGTCAAAAATCATGCCAACGGGTCGGGTTTTACAGATTACATTCTCTCCGTGTGCTTCAGCTCCTAAAAAACATTTCATCCAGAGATTTTTATCCGCCCAGTCCAAGTCTACTTATGAGTCTCAGGAGAAGGGAAAGGAGTTCCAAGGTCTCCAGACAAGCCCCGTTTTCATAACCCACCTGACAATCAAACCAGAGGACTCTGCAACAACCTTGTCACGGGGTAAATCAAGTGTGGATTTTTTGTGCATCTTACAAGGCTGAGAAATTAGGCAGCCAGCAGGGTTAGGCAGCTCAGCGCATCTGAACCACACCGAATTGGCCACTTCTGAAAACTCTGAGCCGATTCTGAAAACTCTTGAGCTGATCTAAACAGGATGTGTTTGCCTGCCTACCACATGAATGCAAGAAAGTTTTCTTGCAAAATCTTTTTTTTTTTTTTTTTTGGAATCCTGGTGGAAGGCTTTTTATAAAAACTAAAATTTGGAGAGAAAAATTCAGGACTTTGTTACTACATATGTTGACCGCAGCAAGACGATTTTTGTAGGCGCAAAAATGGAAGGACACTTGGGTTCCCACCATGGAAGAATGGCTGCAGAAGTGGATGGAGTTGGCGGAAATGGCAAAACTGACCACTTTTGATCAAAGAAAAGAAAGTTACCGTATTTTTCGTAGTATAAGACGCACTTCCCCCCCCCCCAAAAGAGGGTGGAAATGTTGGTGCATCTTATACACCGAATACAGCCATTTTTGGCCTCCCGAAGCCCCGCTCCATGGGCTTCGTTTTTGCAAAAAAACTGGGCTGTTTTTTGCAAAAACAAGGCACGCAGAGGGTTTGGGAGGCCTGCAGAGTGCTCCTGGGGTCCGGGAAGGACAAAAACTTTTTTTTCTTACTTACCTCTTTGAAATCTTGGTGCGTCTTATAGTCTGAGAAATAAGGTAAGTACTTTCGTTTCCACGTGGAAACCGCTTCTGAACTTTGTGCTTGAAGTGGAAAATAGTGAAACTTTGATTTTAGGTTTTACCGATTGAACTGGTAGATCTTTATAGAAAGGGCTACTTTATATTATTATGAAAAAACAAAAAGTTGTGATTTGATGTTAATGCCTTATTTTGCTACAACAGAGCGTTGGAAGTCAAGGCTTCATTTTCTTCCTTCATTTTCACACTGAATTGTGCTTGGTAATCACTACTTGGGCCTTGGTCACAACACTCCCCACCCCTTAAATCGATGATGGTCCCAGATGTTTCTGCAGCTGGGTTCAAACACTGCACACTTCTGAACCTGATCGTCTAGAATTCTAAGGCAGGTGAGCTGATGGAAAAAAAGTTACGTGTTTAAAGCTTGGAAGAAAGCCACTTTCTCCTCAAAAATAGCTTTTTATTTCTGCTATCTCATTAAAAAAACACACAGTGACGTTATCGAAAGATCAAAATGCAAGCAGTGGCCACAGAATTGAAGTTTCAATGCTTCATAAATCTAGATAATAAGGCAGCGGCTTAACTCTGCAGCCTCCCCCCAAAAATCTATTGATAATGCAAGAAAAAACACATATTTGTTACACAAACTTCCATCTTTTTTTGCCTGCAAACGGAATACAAATTGCCCAGACAATGATTTCAGACACAATACAGGTAAAATACCCCCCCCCCCGAGGCTAAAAATCCCGATTGCATTGCTGAAAAGAAATGCATTTATTTTTTTTTTGGCTGCCTGTTGCAGATTAAAATCAGCCACAAACCCTCACAGAACAATATTGAAACTGCATTAGCAATAGCTTTACAAAAGCACGCCAGTTATCACTCCTCTTCTGTTCCATCCAGGTGATCAAAATGATTGTGGAGTTTGTAGTAGAAGAGTGAAGAGGTGAAGTTGAGCCAATGCGATGCGTACCCGGATGCAGCTTTCTGGGTGGAAAGCAGCGTTTCCCCCACCAGACATGGACTTCAACTCCCAGAATTCCCCAGCCAGCATGGATGGACTTCAACTCCTAGAACTCTCCAGCTGCTTAGTGGACTTCGACTCCCAGAATTCCCCAACCAGCATGGCTGGCTAGGAGTTGAAGTCCATCCATCCTAAAGCTGCCAAGTTCAAGAAAGACTGTTCTAGAACAGGGGTCTTCAACCTTGGCAACTTTTAAGACTTGTGGAGTTCAACTCCCAGAATTTTGCTTTGCTTTGCTGGCTGAGGAATTCTGGGAGTTGAACTCCACAAGTCTTAAAGTTGCCAAGGTTGGAGACCCCTGTTCTAGAGCATTAAAGTTGCCCAGATGAACCAGTTACAAGTAGGACATTGTTCTCCACTGGTGCCTGGAGATGAGGTGGATTTTGCTTCAACTGAGAGCCACTTTTCAGCTTAAATCACAATGCCTGGAGATTCCTTCTTTCAAGACGCCCCTTTTCAACAGTTGTGATCTGAAGGACAATAGAGCCTGCTGTTCAGCATACTTTTGAGAGAACCATCTTATCTTACTCAGGAGATAATCTGTGTCCCCATAAAGTTCAGAAGTTTGGGTCATCGGCATCCCTCATTGCTATCAAGATTTGCTTACCCATCTCGTTCTACTCTGTGGATGGAAAGCCACTGTGGTTCAAGGCCGGTAGAACGTATCGTACGGAGTGGTTGACGTAGGAGGACATCTTCCTCGCTTGAGGAAGCCAATACTGAAGAACTCAAGAACTTCTGATGGACAATCCCGGTGGGAAATTCAGAGCCGGTCACCATAGAAGGCCACCGTTTCTTCGAAGGCCACTTTCTAAGATTTGTGGGGTTCGCATACATACAAAGAAGTGAGGCAGAAGATATGAAGAGAGGCAATGGTGGGATTCAAGTAATTTAACAACCAGTTCTCTGCCCTAATGATTTCTTTCAACAACCAGTTTGCCAAACTGCTCAGAAAGTTAACAACCGGTTCTCCTGAAGTGGTGCGAACTGGCTGAATCCCACCACTGAAGAGAGGGCATTTCCTCTGCGGGTGTCCTCCTCGTGAGCTTCCGAGAGACACTGACATGGCTACAGCCGGAAGAAGGCCCTGGATGAGACCTTAGCTGGTTGTCTTATGTTCTTAAGCTGATTGTTCGTTTTTGTTCTTCTCCTGCACTTTCAAATTATTATTGTACCCCAAAGAAGGGGGAAAAATTGCATTGTTACGTGCGAAAGTACAGCGGTGGAAACAGGCTCCGCTAGACAACCTGCTGAGGGTGGCCTGAGACAAGTGGGCCCCACCCCACCCCCAAGACCCTTGGTTATACTAGAAAAGGGACTGAGGGGGCTTGAGTCAAAAGTTGAGTCAAGACTCAAGAGTCTAAGAGTTAAAAGTCAAGGAGCTAACAGTCTCTTCTGCTGCCCAGATCCTGATGAACCACTCTCCTCTAACAGGAGGGGGAAAAATTGATAGCTATTACAGGTATTATGGTTAAAATAAGGGGAGGGGGTGTATAATAATGTTTTTTTCTCCTTTTTTTTAATTCACATTTTTTTTCCTCAGTGTTTTTGTTCAATGTTTTATTTCGTCTCTCTTCAATATTTTTTTTCTTTTGGATTTTAATCTTTGGAATAAAATAAAATTATTAAATACAAAAAAAAAAAAAAATCTCCCTATCGATCGACTTAAGAATTCTGTACGTGTCAAGATTTAGAGGTCTTGGGGTGGAGTTGGGGAGAACGGAGGGAGAATTTTCCTTTAGGTAAGCAGCCCCACCCCCAACCTCTGTCCTTTCACCAAGGCTCTTCCCAAAATGGCTAGAGACCTCCCCTGCCTGCCTCTTCTCAAGATCTCATCTCAGTTAAGCCATTCCTTCTCTCCAATAGCAATAGCAATAGCCTCTGGGCTTATAGACCACTTTGTAGCACCCTCTTGAGCAGCTTACAACGTAGAGCAGTGTTTCTCAACCTTGGAAGCTTGAAGATGGGTGGACTTCAACTCCCAGAATCCCCCAGCTGGGGGATTCTGGGAGTTGAAGTCCACCCATCTTCAAGCTACCAAGATTGAGAAACACTGACGTGGAGCATTATTTGCACATTGCAAACCCTCGTTGCCACAGGTTGGCAATTTTTACAAAATGGCTCCTCGTTTTTACCAACCTCGGAAGGATGGAAGGGCTGAGTCAAACCTTGAGCTCCGTCGGGATCGAATGCCAGGCTGTGGGCAGAGTTTTGCCCACAAACGCTGCATTCTAACCACTGTGCCCCCTTGTGACTTGAGGTCAGGCTGGAGAAAAAGCTTATTCCTACTGCATATGTATTCAGAGAGGTTGCACTGAAAGGGGGTGGGGGGCGTCTATTGCTGGAAACAAGTTTCCCTGAGTTGCATTTTCACATTCGACCAACAAACCCAGAGGCAGCGTTGGAGAACCTCAACGGTCTGTCCTCCCCGCTTGGCGGCCTCTTGTCCCTGATGGTGGAGTCAACCCAAGGAAGCTTGCAAGGCCTCCTTCTACATCTGGGCGCCCTCCACATTGTGGGGGAAGCGAATCCTTGTATTCTCAGCCAGCAGGTGAGCAGGGAACTCCCAGGAAAGGTTGTTCCCACACCTCTGGAGGAAGTCCCAAACTGGAGAAATCTCTACTGAGGCAGGGATGACCGCTGTGGTTGACCGCGTCTTCTGCTACGTTTCTCCAGGTGTTTTGTGCAGTTTGCCCAAGGCCTGGATGGCTTGTTCTTGCAAGAGGGACGGGTCGGAAAGAATGGAGGTTGTAGTGCTTAGGTGCCGGAGACTGTTCAGAACCACTAGGAGAAAAAAGGACGCAAAACAAAATCAACCAGCCCGGTTAATTACCATGGCGCCTTCCAGACAAGACAATTGACAAGATCTCATGAGCAACTCAACTTACTGGGCCTCAGGACAGGGAGCGAGCAGTGTTTCTCCAGCCATATGAAGGCTGTCCGGTTCAGCTCCTGCAGGCTGGTGGTGGACACCATCTCGTTGAAGGTTTCAAACAGGGGCTCGATGATGACGCTGAACTGCAGGAAAATAGGGGTTAAGGTGCCAACTGGACAGAGGTTGAGATTGCTGGACACTCAGTGGAGGGGGAGGGGAGGCTGGAACGCAGGGTACCTCCGGGGAAATGGGGCAGGTTAAATCGAGGAAAAAGTCCCACCCAGTTTTATTGGTTGACGAAGCTCCTGGGTCTTCTCAACCTTCTCCAGAACTATGAAAAGTTGGAGAGCACTGTCAATCAAGAAGGGGTTCTACAGAAACTATTACTTTTTTCCGTTCTGTCCGTCCATCCATCCATCCCTTCCTTCCTTCCTTCCTTTCCTTCCCATCCACTTATCCTTCCATCCACCCATCCAACCAACCTGAAGTGCTCCTGAATCCCATTTTTTCCCCCATTCTAAAAAGGTCTTTAGGCCGTTTACAGAATGACACCTGTATAATCCACGGCTTAAAAACCACCCAAAGGATTTATCCGGCCAGCTTTAAAAATGGATTAAAAACGACATTAGGAAAGCTAGATTGGCGAGGAGGTTGCCACAGCAGCCCAATAGAGATTCCAGGTTCAGGAGCAGTGTACCTCCAAAGGGCCTGCCCTCTCCCCTTCCCACTTCTCCTGTGACATCTCGATGGGCTCTTCCCCCTTGACAAAAATCACATCCTATTTCTCTCCTTCCCATATTCGGCCTCTGGGTCTTTTCCCTAGTTTCACCCAGGCCAAAGCAGGATACAATCCAGAATTTCAAGTTTTGCTGGCTCCGGTTTCGGATGTAGTCTTCAAACATGTTCCTCATCTGGTCAAACCGCTGCCTGGTGATGGGGACGCCCGTGGCAGGCAACTGTTGCTGGCAGGAGCTGAAGAAGAAAGGGAGAAAAGACAGGAAAAGTCTCAGGCCGGAAAGAAGGATCAAAAGCCAAAGTCACAACAGCCGAGCGGACAAAAACAGGCGGAATTTATTTAAAGATCTCCCTCGACTTACAAACATTCGGTTAGTGGCCATCCAAAGTTATCAAGCCGCTGAAAAAAAATGATGTATAACCAGTTTATTTAGAATAGAATAGAATAGAATAGAATAGAATAGCATAGCATAGCATAGCATAGCATAGCATAGAATAGAATAGGAGAGTTGGAAGGGACCTTGAAGGTCTTCTAGTCCAACCCCCTGCCCAGGCAGGAAACCCTACAACCACTTCAGACAAATGGGTATCCAACCTCTTCTTAAAAACTTCCAGTGTTAGAGCTTTCACAACTTCTGGAGGCAAGGAGAGATTAATTGTTCTCACTATCAGGAAATTCCTCCTTAGTTCCAGGTTGCTTCTCTCCTTGATTAGTTTCCACCCATTGCTTCTTGTCCTGCCCTCAGGTGCTTTGGAGAATAGCTTGACTCCCTCTTCTTTGGGGCAGCCCCTGAGATAGTGGAAGACTGCTATCATGTCTCCCCTAGTCCTTCGTTTCATTAAACTAGACATACCCAGTTCCTGCAACCGTTCTTCATATGTTTTAGCCTCCAGTCCTCTAATCCTCTTTGTTGCTCTTCTCTGCACTCTTTCTAGAGTCTCAACATCTTTTTTACATCGTGGCGACCAAAAGGCATTATACTTTACCAAGGCATTATAAAGGGGTATTAAGACTTCACGTGATCTTGATTCTATCCCTCTGTTTACGCAGCCCAGAACTGTGTTGGCTTTTTTGGCAGCTGCTGCACACGGCTAGCTCCTATCTAAATGGTTGTCCAGTAGGACTCCAAGTTCTTGCACTGAGGACCATCGAAGGATCCCCAATGTCATGTGATCAAAAACGATTGTGGTGTCCCAGGTGATCCTTTTTGTGAGCTAAATTCCAGCTAAATTACGACAAGCAGTCAAAGGCGGGGGGGGGGAGCCAGATTTGCTTAATGACCTGATTCGCTTAAGAACTGCAGGGCTGATCCACTTAAGAGCCGCCTTTCTGAACGATGGAAATTCTAGCCCCAATTGTGGAGGTGAAGTGCAGGACTGCCTGCAAGGGCTTTTTAGCCCTTTGTTAATTTTTTTTTGTCTTTAGCATTTTTAGGGATGGTTGGCTGCCCAGAGGGGCTCTTATGAGAGAGGGGGGGGGCACTGAAATCAAGTAAGTCAACCAAGAAAGGGGAGAGGAAAGGCCTGTGTGTAGCTACTCCGAGTCCTCACATGATGGCCGCGTTCAGCTCCACCGTCTCCTCCCGAAGGCGCCTGGCTTCCTCCTGCATCTGCGAACGCTCCTGCTGCAGCTTGGCAATGTACTCGACTGTCTTCTGGAGGGTCAGGGCGTGGCTGATCTGCGGGGGGCACCGAAAAGAGGGTCCAGGCTGAGCTCGGGCGGGAGGGGGGGGAGGATATTACCCTGGGCCTGAAATCTGACATTCAGGGGAAGGAGGGGGAGAGGGAGGGAAGAAGGGATAGGAAGAATGGTGAGGATGGATGGATGGATGGGAAGGAAGGAAGGAAGGGCGGGAGGGAGGGAGGGAGGGAGGAGGGAAGGAGAGGAAAGAATGGATGGATGGGTTGACAGAAGGAAAGAAGGGGAGGAAGGGAGGAATCCCTTCCCAATCCTTTTAATTGTTAATTTTAAATTTGTTTTAAAACAATAGGGGTGTTTTAATCTGTATGGGCCAAATTATTTAATGTGTTTTTACATTGTTTTTTAAATTTTGTATTATGTGTGTTTTATCCTTTGGCTGTTCACCGCCCTGAGTCCTTTGGGAGTAGGGCGGTATATAAATCCAAAATAAAGTAAAGGAAAAGGAAAAGGAAAAGGGAAAGGAAGGAAGGAGGAAGGAAGGAAGGGATAGGAAGAATGGGATGGATGGATGGATGGATGGCGGGGGAGGAGGAGGAGGAAAACTCTCTGGGGATTCCACCCCCACCCCGCAAGAAATGACTTACTGATTTAGAGTTTGGGGAGACCAGGCTGTTGAGGGTGCCAAAGCCAATCTTGATATTACACCTCCGCTTCTGCTCGGCCGAGATATGCTTCATTCTGCGACTCTGTGCCCATTAAAACAGAACAAACCCCCCCATTACTTTAACCCCAAGTTTCTCAACCTTGGCCACCTTAAGACAGGTGGACTTCGACTCCCAGAATTCCCCAGCCCAGCCTCCTTCCCCTCCCTCATGATTTCAACTCACCTTGAAGAGGGAGACCTGCGGCTGCTCAGGTGTGCCCTTCCTGGACCGGTTGCTCTGCGGGGACTGAGGGCTGAGGCCCTGCTCGGACGGGTGGGGAGAGGCCTGTCTCGACGGCTGGCAGTCTCGGACTTGGGAAGAGAAGGAACGACAACAACAATACAGAGAGAGAGAGGGAGAGAGAGAGAGACCAAAAGGAGAGAGAGAGAGAGGGAGAGGGAGAGAGAGAGAGGGAGAGAGACAGAGAGAGAGGGGAGAGGGGGGGGAGAGAGACAGAGAGGAGAGAGAGAGAGAGAGAGAGGGCAGGGGGAGAGGGAGAGAGAGAGAGGAGAGAGAGAGAGAGAGAGAGAGAGAGAGAGAGCGCATCAGCTAAGCCGCAGCGGCAGGAGAGATTTGATTTAATCACTGCTTATCTAGCCTGCCTTTTCCTGCCGAGCAGAAAGCAGCGGAAAAAGGACCGGAAACTTTTCACTGACATATGAAACCGGTCCAACCCCCACAACGCTTCGTTTAGTGACCATCGGAAGTTACAACAGCATTGAAAAAAGTGACTTCTTAGGGCCATTTTTTTTTGCACTTACGACAACCAAGTCTTTGAGTTCTGCAGCTGTTATAATAATGTGAAACCAAGATTGAATGATGGCTTCTATGAACTGGGTTTTATTGCTGGGTCACTTCTGATTAACAAGTTTCTTTAGTTGGCTCCATAGATTTTAAATTGGGTGAAGGTCTGGGCTATTCCCAGGCCATTCCAGCAGTGGGATAGGATTATCTTGAAACTCCCCCCCAAAAAAGTGGTGTTATTTGCCGTCAAACCTCAAAAATACACTTTTCCCAAAGTTTTCCACAATTTTGGCCACTACTGTACACATGGTCTAACTATACTACAATTACAATCCATAAACTGTGTGGCCCGTTGTAGGTTCAACGCTAAAAGGGAAATAAAAGGACTAAACGTTGCAAAGGGTTTGCCACATTCATTATATAACATCACTTATGGTGGAGAAGACACGCGTTTGCCACGAATCCCCTGCGCTGTAGTTATGGACCCTTAAGCAGCCACTGAAGATAGGGAGGCAATAGGAGTCGTGGTCGTAAGTCGAGGACTACCTGCACAGTGCCAGGAGCCCCTCCCCAAAGCAGCTCCCACCAAGCCCGCAGCCCCTCACCTGAGGAGAGGAAGGCACTGTTCAGAATCAAAGGCACGGGCTCCGCAGGGGCGGGCGCAATCTGTTGGGGTTTCCTGGCCCGCAGCCCAGGGGCCGCCATGGGGAGGACGAAGGGGGCCGACGGGTGCAGGATAGCTTGCGGATGCACCACCGCCGCCTGGAGTGTGGTCACCGTACACGGCACCCCCGCCCCGGGCTGCTGGGGGGCCAGTAGTCCCGCCGGGCTGTGGCTGAAGGCGGTGGCCGGCACATTCTGCGTGGGGGTGGCCGAGGCGGTGTGGGTGATGACGGAAGGCTTGCCGGGGCCGAACTTCGGAGCCTCGGCCGGAGTGAAGATGGACACCTGCAAGGCCAGCTCCGGGTTCAAGGAGAGCAGGGTCTGCTGAGGCGTTTGGGACGGGACCTCTGGAAGCCCCAGAGTTGGGAAGCGAGGCAGGAAGTGGGTCTGGGGCAGCTCAGAGGGGAAGCCGGGGGTCTGCAGGCAGGGGCCCCCGTTCTTCAGGCCCAGGCACTGGTCAGGGGAGAGGATGGAGTCAGGCACCGGAGGGGCCACCAGCTCTTCTCCCAGGTTCACCGTCGGAAGCGGGCTGCGTAAAGAGGTCGAGGAGAGGCTCGGGGTCTGAAAAGAGAAAGGGAGGCCTGTTAAATGTCCACTAAATATAACGGCAATTTATTATTTTACAGGTAATAAAAGTGCAATCGATCAGGGTTTCTCAACCTGAAGCTCTTTAAAAGGCGTGGACTTCAACTCCCAGAATTCCCCAGCCAGCAGAATTCTGGGAACTGAAATCCAACCCCTCTTAAGGTGCTCTAGCTTGAAAAAAAAACATTGGCTTAAAGCAGGGGTCTGCAACCTTAAACACTCAAAGAGCCATTTGGAGCCGTTTCCCACAGAAAAGAAAACACCGGGAGCCACAAAACCTGGGTGGGCGTGGCCAACCCGATGTCACGCACTTCCACCAGTCACATGACCCCCTCCCCAAGCCACGCCTACCTAGCCGATCATTAGGGCAGAGAACCGGTTCTTAAAAAACACCGGGAACCACAAAACCCGTTTGACATCTCCCTCTCTCTCTCCTTCTACCCCCCCTCTCTCCGTCTCTCCCGCCCCCCCTCTCCCCGTATCTCTCTGTCTCTGGCCCAGCCGCTTCTCCATCCCCCGCCGTCACCCTTACCTTCTCAGGCCAGGCGAGGAGTGACTGGGAGGGGAGGGCGAGGGGTGGGTCAGCCAGTGGTGGGCTCACCCGACAGGGAGCCACAGCAGAGGGCCCAAAGAGCCGCATACGGCTCCGGAGCCCCCGGTTGCTGACACCTGGCTTAAAGTATAGGTTAAACCGAGCCATTGAGCTCCAGCAACCATAGAGTCCGTTCTCTAGAGAGGCCAGACTTTGGGGAATTCTGGGAGTTGAAGTTCCACACTCTTAAATTGGCCGAGGTTGAAAAATACTGCAATAAATAAATAAAGGATGGAAAACTTTAAAAATTCACACAGAACTAAGGGGGAAACATTGGCTACTCCGGTGAACTCGGATGTCCTGTCCCGTCTCACCATCCCACTTCAACTTTATTTATTTATTTTTATTTATTTTATCTCGAATTTATATACCGCACCTTCTCCCGAGGGACTCAGGGCGGTGTACAACCAGATAAAAACATACAATACAAACATTAAAAACAATTAAAAGGATATATATTAATTTGGCCCCAATTTAAGATAACAAACCAATTAAAAATTTAAAAAATTAAAAAATATGTTAAGCCAGCCCGGCTTGCTGAAAAAAGAAAGTTTTAAGGGCACGGCGGAAGGCACCGAGGTCTTGGATTCTCATCATCTCAGGGGGCAGCTGATTCCAGAGGGCAGGTGCCCCCACAGAGAAGGCCCTCCCCCTTCACCTCTTCCCTTTCTCACCTGGGCACAATGTTCGATGGCCCCAGACAAAGAAGCACTGGATGTCAGGCTGGAGGTAGTGGTGGCAGGAGAGGCGAAGATATCTGGCCAAGACAGAAGGAAGAGAATCAAATCCTCGTTATATTTCCTCGGCTGTTTCGGAACAAGCCAGCTCTGTCAGAAAGCACGGAATCCTATATAGGTGCTAGACCTCAGCACACTGACTGGTAGATTATTAATATTTCAGATTTCTAGCCTTCACACATATATATGCAAATGGTAAACATGAATGCAATGAAACTCCCACGGAAACAGAAGCCCACCCATACAGGGGGAAAGAGTCCGCAAATCACCCTGAGCCAAAGTCTGGAGGAAGGGAGACCTCTTCTGAGCAAGGAAGGGAAGCAAGAAGAGGCCAAGGAGTTCTCAACTTTAATTTTTCCTGATAAGAGGAGAATATTTGTAGCTCAGGGTTGAATTGATGGTCTCTGAGCTTGGTGGTTTTCTTGCAGATGTTTCCTTGTCTAAGTAGGTAACGTCATCAGTGCACTGATGATATTCCCTAGTTGGGTCATGAGTCCTCTTCCTCTTCCTCCTCTACTCCACCAACCCCCCTTCCCTTCTAGCCCTGATGATGTACCCTAGTTGGGTCACGAAACATCTGCAAGGAAACCACCAAGCTCAGAGAATACCCGTAATTATTTGTGACGGAGACCATATTCCAGCCAGTTCAATTCCACCCAGGATCCTTTCTGTCTAAGGGTCGCCGCTGGCAAATCGGAACCATTCGGGCTCACCTGGGAAAAAATCCAAAGTCTCCATCCAGTTGGGCTGTAGAGGGTAGAGTCCCGGCTGAATCATGTCGGCATTGCCCAGGTGTGCTAGAAAACAGGTGGTACAGTGGTTTAATGCACCCTGTTATTAACACCAGCTGTCTGCAATTACTGCAAGTTCGAATTTCCCCAGGCTCAAGGTTGACTCAGCCTTCCATCCTTTCTAAGGTAGGTAAAATGAGGACCCAGTTTGTGGGGGCAATAAGCTGACTTTGTATAAATATACAAAAGTATGAAGGCTATTGCTTAACGCATTGTAAGCCGCCCTGAGTCTCCGGAGAAGGGCGGCATATAAATTAAATTAAAAAAAAAAAAAAAAGCGCCTTTGGAACTACCAGCCACTAGGCCCAAGGGAGACGAAAGCAAAGCCCTACCTCTTTCTTTCGAATTTGGCCAGGCGACCAGCTGGTGACTGGACAGGGTGGAGAAGAGGGTGTCCGAAGATCCTGACATGTAATCGTCAGTGGTGAAAAACTCTTCCAGTTCCATGGGGCTGTCTTTCTTGAAGAAGCCATCGTCCTGTTGGGGGAGGGGGGGGAAGGATAGGAAAAGGTGACCTGGAGGAACTGGGGGCCCTGCAGGACGGGGGACAGAAAGGAGACCGAAAAAGGATTCTAGCGCTAAGATTGGTATTAAGCCTTTAAAACAGAGGTGTCCAACCTTGGCAACTTTAAGACTTGTGGACTTCAACTCCCAGCATTCCCCCAGCTAGCATGGAATCCTCCCCAGACAGGAATTCTGGGAGTTGAGGTCCACAAGTCTTAAAAGTTGCCAAGGTTGGACACTTATGCTTTAAAGCTTGAAGTTTGTCTTGGATGCCTATTTAGGAGTAGAGTTAAATATATAAATATCCTGGCTACCCATTGGACAACCAGCCAACAGAGTCAAAAGAAGACCACTAAATGCTCCATTCAAACAATAAAGAGATTTATTTGATTATTTTGCTCATTAAAGTAGATTTCACCCTCCCCACAATTCTGCTCTTCTATAAAACCTCCAGCTTCCAGAGTGCTCTACCTAAACGTTCAGGAGGAGAAGGTGCTCTATTCAACCAATGAAAAGATATAATCTGATCTTGTTTCAATCGTTCGCTTGTTGGAAAACTTAGGGAGGTCTCTACTGAACCAAAAAAGCGATAGCCAAAATAATGTTTACCTGGACCAAACTGGACAGGTCTTCATCTTTGTGCTTTTGTAACTGGAAAACAAAGAGGAAAGAAATGGAAATAATTGAAAGTGAAACCGAAACTAAAAGGAGAAGGAAGGGAAGGAGGGAGGATAATTTTCCAACTTGGAACAGAATTTAAAACACCCATTTTATGGAATCCAAATTGGTTTAGTACAGGACTATCAGTCACGGCCGATACCCCAAATTTATGCAGACAAGATACAAAACAAGACCAGCCATCCTTATGCCTTGAAGACCCCTCCTCCCAAAATATTACTCCGTTATCTGCTGTTTGACTAAGCTGCCTGATCCGAGCCTGGCCTGAGAACCAACTCAGTTATTGTGGCCTCTGGCTGGAAACTCTGCAATCTGACGTCCCAACCCAGCAGAAAGGGGAAAGTTAGAAGATGCTATGTTAGAAGGTCAGCTTGTATTGTCGTGAAACAGGGGCCCTTGGAGGAAAGAGTAAAGTTTTCTAACCCTGTTCAGCTTCTTGACAAGCTGAGCTCAGACAGCAACTCCCTGGCAAAACGGAATTATTTGTCCCCAAAATGTCAGCCATTCAAAAACAAAAAAGACATACTCTTTTCTTGAAGTACGTTCGCCACTTGTGATATTCTCTTATGACTATGTCAATCCGTTGCCTCCAATATTTCTCATTGGTTCTGCTACCCTAAAAGGAAAAGAAGAAACATGGTAGGAATAGGAGAGATCAAAGTAAATTTAGACAAGCCAACTCAACTCAACCCAACCCAACCCAACCCAACCCAACCCAACCCAACCCAACTAACTCAACTCAACTCTACCCGATCAACTCAACCCAACCCAACCCTTTACCAGCATAAATTAGAAGCCCAAGGTCACTTGTACTGCCCATGGATGTCTCCCCAAAACCCCTCCAGGTAGTCCCAAATGGCCGAGTCTCTCAAAGGAAGCAACTAAAGGCCATGAAGATGAGCACCCCATTGATTTGGAAGGATGTGCCCACCTGGTGTACTTCAGGAACGTCCACAGAACCATCCAGCGGGGTCACAAAATTGCACACCGGGTTCTTCCTCTTCTCTAGATCTGAAAGAGAGCAAGAGGATTTGCCAGATGGGTTCCTGGTGTGCATGCTTGATATTTCCAACTTCAGACGTTCTCTTTTAGATGATTTAATCATGCATGCCTCTCCTAGTCATTGTTTTGTTTAAAACAATATTAGAACAAGAATAGAATTTCCACAAAAAGCAGGACAGGAGGTGAGCCCGAAAGAGAGGCCAACTACAATTCTCCTGGAATCCAAGCAGAACCAGGGACTTGAGGATCACTTCTCATTTCTGATCAACTGCAGGAGATGGTGTAACCTTTCCTACAAATTCTTCACAGGGTTCTGACTACAGATTAAGATCCAGTTCCTTCTGGATATATTAAAAGGTACTGTTTTACCAGACCTCCTCTTTGCAAAACCAGGTTTTAAAAATTCCCTTCTCTTGCAGGAAAGTTCTCGTGAAGAAGCGAATCATAGCTGTTGGGAAATAACTGGACTCTTTTCGGTCCTAACTGAGACCCGGAGGCTCGTTTGAAGAGCTCTCCCGGGACAACGTGGTGCGTTACTCACACTGGATGTACCAAGCCCTCCAGATGGCATTGTTGAGTCGGATTTTGTCTCGACACAATAACTTCAACCCTTTGAAATTCTTCCACTTGGGGGAAACCAAAGTCCCGCTGGAATAAAGCAGAGATGATTTGCATGAAGACAAAGACAAATCAGCAGCTCTGAAGTTTGCCCCTCCCTTCCCGAACGGAACCTTTGAAAGAAATCACAAAGCGGGGTTTTTTTTGTTTTTTCATGCCAGTTCCCACTTTTGGAGCACCCAAAAAAGGTCAACTTTTGGAATTGGTCACAATTTCTTCAACCATTCTGAAAGCTGAGTCTGTTCTAAGAAGGGAGGGGGAAAAAATATGAGTTTATGGTTTGGGAATGAAAAGAAGCTGCAGCTTTCACCAAGAAAAAGAATTGTGCTACTGAGTTGTTTAAATGTGGAGAGCAATTACTTTCAGATTATTTTGATTTGAGCCAAATGGTGTTAATTCCTATCTCAATGTTTCTCTCTCTCTCACACACACACACATACACACACATACATAGCAACTTTCAGAGGTATGGACTTCAACTCCCAGAATTCTCTAGCCAGCATGGGTGGACTTCGAACTCCCAGCAAGCTGGCTGGGGAATTCTGGGAGTTGAAGTCCATAACTCTTGCCAAGGGTGAGAAAAACTGTTCTAGATCCTGAAAAATCAGGAAGGTACTTCTCTTTCCATGCTTTCGTCCACCAGGTGGGCTGGAAAAGCACCCCACCCAAAAAAATTCTCCAGGTAACATGGCCAAAGGAATTCTAGTGTTCCACAAGATGGGAATTTGCATGTTTGGGAAATGCTGTAACGTCCCTCTGTAAATCACTGTGAAGCAGTATATAAGTCTAAGCGCTATTGCTCTTCCTTCCTTATCTTCCTTCCTTCCTTCCCTCCCTCCTGTGGTGGAACAGTGGTTAGAATGCAGGATTGCAGGCTAATTCTGCCCACTGCCAGGAGTTCGATCTTGACCAGTTCAAGGTTGACTCGGCCTTCCATATCCTTCCGAGGTGGGTAAAATGAGGACCCAGATTGTTGGGGGGCAAGAGGCTGACTCTGTAAACCGCTTAGAGAAGGCTGTAAAAGCACTGTGAAGCAGTATATAAGTCTAAGTGCGATTGCTATTCCCACTTTTAATTCAACCCTCCTGATTTTCTTGGCCGTCTCGGAGTTTACCAGCTACCCCAACCCATGCTAACTAACCCCACCCCCATTGCTCTCTTCGGGGTCCTGCTGTCATCCCTTCGCCAGCCTGCTCCTCTCTTTAATGACATTATTCTTGAAATAATCCTGTAAGGGCTCACAGGCGTGACGGGCTTAAGTCTAGACAGGGCAGGCGTGACAGCTGCCTCCCCTTCTGTTCCATCAGTCCGCCAAAATCCTCTTTGAAGCTTGCAGGGTGGAATAGCCAAGGGCCTTTGACGCTATCCAGGGGTGCTAAGCTCCGGCTCGGCTTTGGAAAGCAACAATGCATGAAAAAAAAAACTGAAGCACATGGGATCCAGTCTTTACTTCAAACGCTGCAGGGTCCTTCATTTTCCTCCTGGACCGTAAACACTTGCTAGAAATCTTTCCCAGGGTCAAGGCCTAAACCGAAGCCAGTGAATGGTCTCCATATCCAAAATACGCAAATATATTTTCGGCTCCTATTCACAGTTCCTCCTACAAGAAAGTCTGCGACGCATCTGGGATATAGATTTAGAGAAATCGAATTTCTCTTCCGGGGAAGCAGACGTGTGAATTCCGCTCTCTCTAACCCAAGGCTAACAACCTTTCTTCAAGCAAACCAGTGGTGCAATTCAGCCAGTTCTAGCCAGATCGCGCGAACTGGTAGCGGTGGCTGTGGGAGGCTCCGCCCACCTGCCCTGATGTCATTTTCTTTACCCTCTGCGCATACGCAAAACGCTCTGCGCATGTGTGCAGGTAGTGTGTGCGCTCACATTTGCGAACTGGTAGCGAAGGTAAGTGAATTCCACCCCCGAAGCAAACGTTTCTTCAACAAGAAAAAGGGGATATTTATCAAATCAAATATTTATTTGATTATACATGTAATAACGGCTGCAAGGATTGTTTATGCACAACTCTGGAAAGCAGAGAGAATACCTTTGGAAGGAGAAGTAATTAAAAAAATTTTAGATTGTGCAGAAATGAATAGATTGATGATTAAAGAAAGAGAAGATTCAGAATACTTTTAAGATATGGAGTCAATTTTACTATTGGTTAGAAAAGACATATAAATAATTAATAGTTATATATAAAAATGCCATAATCAGAATATTTTGTTAGTGATGAATTGTTATAATCGATTCGATGAGAACGAAGACAGAAGAAATAACAAAAAGAACAACAATTGGAGACAACACCGAGATGTCACACGGAAGGAATGACTGATGTATTAGTTTGTTTGTTTTAAAAAATAAAAATCTTTTTTTTTTAAAAAAAGAAGAAGAAAAAGGGTAAAGGGACCTTGGAGGTCTTCTAGTCCAACCCACTCTAGGCCATTCCAAACAAATGAAATCAGATTGAAGGGTGACTGGGGGACCAGGATGGAGAAGGAGGATGGAGAAGGTGCCACAGACGGGGCTTACAATTGTTCCCACAAACTTTTTGACAAGTGAGTTGCTGGGAAACTGAGTTGGCTCCAACTAAGTCACATCACGGACAAGATTTAACGGCAAGAGACGAAATCATCCAAGCCCTTTTAGGACCTTATAGGTTTCCAGCTCCTGGCCAACATTCAGGGTTAGTGGCAATTCTGGGTCGATTCCACATCTGAAGAAGGCTTGTGAGCAGTTCTGCAAAACAATGACGACCCAGTTTTTCATTAGTCGACCCCTCCAACTGGAGGAAAGGGAGCTGGACAAGGCCGACAGCTTCAAGACCGAGCGGTTTCTGACATACAACAGGTGGAGAAACCTAAAACCCGTTTCTGTCATTGAGGGTTACCTCAGGTTCTCTCTACCACCCAGCGGTCTATAAATACATCAAAGGCAAGGGAGGATCTGGTTCAAAAGGTCTGGAAAAGAAGCAGCTCACCTCTCACACAGAGAGAGAGATGGCAACACCCCCCCCACACACACACACGCAAAGTGTCTTTGGGTTGACCAAGAAGCCAACAGGATGGCCATTAATGGCCCCAAGCCATCCCTTTGCTGGTTTCTTCCTCGTCTCTGTCCAGACCTTACAAGAAAAACATTTTCAAGAAGAGGTGGTCAACTATGGACCCCTTTACGACCTGTGGACTTCAACTCCCAGAATTCCTCAGCCAGGAATTCTGGGAGTTGAAGTCCACAGGTTGTAAAGGGGGCCATGGTTGACCACCTCTGCTTGAACAGATTTTAATCTGTTAAATTAATCTCATCTATTCCACTATCTTTTCTTATTGGTATCATTGTTGTGATTATTATTTTGCTATCATGATTATTATTACTTTGCTGTTTTTCATGTACACTGAGAGGTTATGCACCGGAGACAAATTCCTTGTGTGTCTAATCACATTTGGTCAATAAAAATTTTCTATACCTACCTACCTACCTATGTCTGTCTATCTCCATCCATCCATCCATCCATCATCTTATCTATCCCTCTCTCCCTCCCTCTCTCTCTCTATATCATCTATCTACCTACCTACCTATCATCCCTCCCTCTCTTTATATATCATCCATCTATTCTATCTATCTATCTATCTATCTATCTATCTATCTATCTATCTATCTATCTATCTATCTTCTATCCCTCTCTCTCCTTCCCTCTCTTTATATATCATCCATCTATTATCTATCTATCTATCTATCCCTCTCTCTCTCTCTCTCTCTTTATATATCATCCATCTATTATCTATCTATCATCTATCTATCTATCTATCTATCTATCTATCTATCTATCTATCTATCATCTATCTATTTATCTATTTCCTTCCCTCTCTATATATATCATCCATTATCTATCTATCATCTATGAATCTATCATCTATCTATCTATCTATCCCTCTCTATATATATCATCCATCTATTATCTACCTATCTATCATTCTCTCTCTCTCCCTCTCTCTCTCCTTCCCTCTCTCTCTATATATCATCTATCTATCTATCCATCTATCTATCCGTCCCTATACCATGCCGGACCAATGGTTGTCCAATATATTCAATTTCTCCTCCAGCAACGGATCTCTGCTGAAAGCTACCCCTTCTACTTGGAGGCGGAGGAGCACTGCCTGAGCCACCCCATCAGGCATCTGCTGTAGGACAAAATCCAGACTCCTGGCCGGCCCTTATCAGCAGAAGACAAGCCCGAGTGGATTACAAGGCAGTCGGGCCGGCCCACCGGGTGCCAGGGAAATATCTAACTGGTTTTGCATGGCGGGGACAGCACCCAGCGATGAGAGTTCAAACAGCCTCCACTTAACACTTTGGAGAGGCTGTCTTATCAAGCGGCACTTTATCATCCTATAATGCAGAAGAGTTGACAAGCTCAATAAAACGAGCAAAAACTTTCCCCTCGTCTTCTGAACGAAGGGCATATAACTGGATTAAAGGCGGCATTTTCTCCCCTGGAGGATTTATTTCCCGAGCGCAGCTTTCCGCCCCCCCAAAAAATGCCAAAAAAGGCTGCTTGGGTGTGGAAATGAAAAAGGGAGCAAAGCAGACGAAGGGCAGAGATGCTGATTTCGTTTCGCCCCCGCAGAGGAAGGGGATGGAGCCCTTCCGTACAACGGGGATCAGAAGCTCCTCGAAATCCAAGGGCCCAATTAGGGAGAAGGAAGGGGAAAAAAAACGATTTAAAATTTCATTCTGGCCCAAACGCCAAGGTCTTTTCCCCACGTGGGAAGCCATGGAAGCACCTGAACTCTTTCGCACGGTGTTTATTTGCACCAAGAATAAAATGATCTGACAAACTCTCTGTTTGCTAAGGTGTGGCACGAAACCTACTTTCAGCCCGTCCAAAACTACATTTTTTTCTACACTGGCAAAGCGGTTAAAAGCAGCTCCGTTTGCAGGTATTTACCTGGCATTTCCAGGCAATATTTCCAAACCGTTTGAACCTTGGGCTGTGCCTGTATTTAAAATTAAACCCAGACAAGCGACATGAGTCTTACTCCAGTTGCGACCAGCGAGCCTCCTATTTCACAACAGGCCAAAACCCTTTCTATAAACAGGAAACGAAGTGGGCCGCGAGTAGGAAAGAGCTTTCAAAGCTGGGAAGTGTATTAGTCGCACAAAACAAAACTCAGGAACAGCAGGTCACACCTCACAGCCCCCAGCATTGTTCCTCCACATTCACACATTATCTCCTGAAAGATCTCGCTCGGCCAGCTTATAAGCAGTACAGCCTTCCCATGGAGAGAGAGAGGGAAGGAGGGAGGGAGGGAGGAAGAAAGAAAGAAAGAGGGAGAGGGAGAGGGAGGGAGGGAAAGAGGCAAGAGAGAGGGGGAGAGAAAAAAGAGGGAAAGAGGGGACAGGAATGGGAGGGAGAGGAAGAGAGGGAAGAAGAGGGAGAGAAAGAGGGTAAAGGAGGGAGAGGGAGAAAAAGAGGGAGGGAGAGAGAGAGGGTGAGAGGAAGGAAGAAAGAAAGAAAAGAAAGAAAGAAGGAAAGAAGAAAGGGAGAGGGAGGGAGGGAAAGAGGCAAGAGAGAGAGGGGGAGAGAAAAGAAAGGGAAAGAGGGGACAGGTTTGGGAGGGAGAGGGAGAGAAAGAGGGAGGGAGAGAGAGAGAAAGAGAGGAGAAAGAGGGAAGGAGGTAGGAAGAGGGAGAGAAAGAGGATAAAGGAGGGAGAGGGAGAAAAAGAGGGAGGGAGAGAGAGAGGGTGAGAGGAAGGAAGAAAGAAGGAAAAGAAAGAAAAGAAAGAAAGAAAGAAAGAAAGAGGGAGGGAGAGGGAGGGAGGGAAAGAGGCAAGAGAGAGAGGGGGAGAGAAAAAGAAGGGAAAGAGGGGACAGGTTTGGGAGGAAGAGGGAGAGAAAGAGGGAGAAAGAGGGAAGGAGGTAGGGAAAGAGAGAGGGAAAGAGAAAAAGAGAGAGGGAGAGAAGGGGAGAGAGAGATAAAGAGATAGAGGCAAAGAGGGGGAGAGGGAAAAAAGAGGGGGAGAGGGAAAGAGAGAGAGACAGCTATCTGCAGAAATAAGTGATGTCCAGATAAAGATCAGAACTTCTAGAAGCGACAAACATTAAATATATGAAAATATAACCAGACAGAAGGCGAATCAGGCTAATGGTAAGCCTTCTGCAATTGCTTCTAGGAGAGACGGACAGCAGATAAATTTAATGTCAAAATAATAATAATAATAATCATCCCATCCCATATTGCGTTTTTCACAGTGTACTGAACTCTCCTAACCTCTCCACCGGCGGTGATTCATATGCCAGAGAGGGCCAATTTTCTGCTTCCCCGTAATAGTCATTTTTCCGAGGTGCTTAAAATGAGGAAACTCCGGCTACAGTTGAGTCATAAAACGGAGTCTCCCTCCTAACAGCAGGAAAACAGGCAGGTTTGGGAAGGTGGTTTTGAGCAAACAGGCTAATTTCAGCTGATAAAGCAGCTTTTTAGGAATACAGCTGACGTTCAAGGAAAACCACTTCTTTACCAGAGTACAGAGAGTCCTTGAATTACGACTGTTGGCTTAGTGACCATGCACAGTTACGACGGAACTCCCCCGGCGCTACTTAGGATCCAGATTCAGCCTTCTGACGGTCGCTCACCTCACCCTGAGCCAAGAAGTCACGTTTTTGAGCACTTGGCAACCGACATGCATTCGTGGCCATTCTTAGCGTGCCCCCGTTACCGTCATTGATGGCATTTTTTGGCTTCTTAAATATGATAAATCCATAAAATAAATGATCCGGTGTTTACGTCCTGTTTCTGACCCAAAAAAACGACGACGACAACCATCAGCCATTGTGGATAATGGATTCGTTTAACGACTGCGGCGTTCGCTTTGTAAAATCGGGCGCAGTCAAGATTGTGACTCGCTTAATGACAGGCATGATCGTAATTCCGGGATCAATTACAGCCATAAATTGAAGATCGTTTCTAAATATAAGGTCCAGGACACGGTACCCAATGAACTGGACAAGCATTATTTCTATCCAGGGGAAAAAACGTTTGATCAGTTGACTAAAGTCCAGAAATATAGTTATGGCAGGAAAAGAAACAGATCGCCAAAATAGTGATCTATGCAAAATTATTGTGCTAATTGTCATGATACAGCTAGTCCTCGACATACGACCACCATGGAGCCCAACATTTCTGTTGCTAAGTGAGATGTTTGTTAAGTGAAGTTAGCCCCATTGTATGAAAGTTTCCAGCAGTTGTTGGTTAAGTGAATTGTTGCATTTGTTAAAATTAGTAACACCGTCATTAAATGAATCTTGATTTCCACCCCACCCCCGACTTTGCTTGTCAGAAGACTACAAAAGGCCGGTTCATATCTACGACGGCCCATTTAGGCACATTTTCAAGGTCGGGTGTATGCATGGAAGGTGCGTGGGCGAAGCGAGCCGGTGCGCGGCCAACTGGTGGTAAGAATATTGGAAACCTACCGCTGACCGTCATAAATACGAACCAGATCTCAAACACCCGAATGTAAATCACGTGATCATGGGGACGCTGCGACAGTCCTAAGTGTGTGAGAAAATGGTCATCATTCACTTTATTTCAGTGCCGTTGTAACTTTGGTCACTAAACGGACTGTTGTAAGTCAAGGACTACCTGCATATTATTTGGCCTCAGTCGCCACCGGAGGACCAAACCCTAAACTGGCTTCCAGTCTGATCCAGCAAGCTTCTTCCCCCCACGTATGCACACTTTCCTCCTGTTTTCTCACCACCGTTCAAAAAGCGAAGATTCTGCAAACAAATTGCTGAAGCATAAAACATTTCTTGCCATCCGCGAAAGGGAAGCCGAGAGCTCCTCGGGATAAATCCCCACCTTATAAGTTCATTCTTGCTTCCTAATATGGGATCCGCTTCAAACCAGAGCAGAAAAGTGTAATTTACAGCTGTCCCCGAGTGAAAACCACACGCAACTTCAGCCCTGTTGCAACCACAGATCCAGCTGGCATTATTTTTTTTTTAAAAAAAGAACGTTTGTAATTTTTATATTGCATTTTTACAGGTACAAATTAATGCAAAGAAGGGTTGTTGAATTTTTAGGGCATGCAAATGCATTTTTTGTTTTTATTTTGTACTTGTAAATGCAACTTAAATGTAAACACGTCCTTAAACAACAGCTAGTAGACAGGCAAGAGCCAAGTCCCAAGGCAGGAGGAACAGAAAAGACAGAAGGTTAAAAAAGAAAAAAGAAAAGGGGAAAAACAGCCAGAAGGTGCCAGTTTCAAGTCTCTGTTTCAGCCATACAAGTTAGTCCTTGCTTAGCGACTGTTCAGAGTCACAACAGAAACCCCCCCCCAAAGCTACTTATGACCCAGTTCTGACAGCTGCGCACACCAGTCAAATGGCCACGGAAACCAGCTCACACCAGCTCACCATTCCACCCCTGTGGCAGAGTTCTACTATCCCGTAATTATGGGGAGGGGGAGGCAGAGACCCCTGCCCCGCAATCTGGGCTGTAAAGGTTTTTTTTTTAATGATTTATCTGGGGGTGGCTCTCCTCCAAGGAACCCCAATATTCCTGCTCTATCCTAGCAGCTGCTGCCCACTCTCACCCCAGTTCTGACCCCTTGGCCTTTTGCAGCCCCCCCTCCCCAGAAACTCCTTTTACACCTTGTCCCCTCCTGTTCCCGAGACCCTCATCCCCCTCCCCAAATCCCTCAATGCTTCCTGCTCCAAAGACCCCCTCCCTCCCCCTGCCAGGAGCCCCCTCTCTGTGATCTGTCCCCTCCCTCCCCAGCCCCTCTTGTCTCATCTCCCCTTCCCCAACTCCTGCCTCCTTGGCCCTGCCAACTCCAAAGCCCCTCATCCCCCTGCTGGAATCCCCCTGACCCTCAGGGTCTGTTCCCTCCCCCCAGCCCCTCCTGCCTCATCTCCCCCTCCCCAAACTCCCCCCCCCTCTGCTCAGTCTGTAACCTGTCCCCTCCCTCCCCAAACGCCCCTCCACAGCCCTGGCTACTCCAAAGCCCCTCATCTCCCTGCCAGAATCCCCCCTGCCCCTCTGGTCTCTCTCCCCTCCCCCTCAGCCCCTCTGTGGCTTCGTCTCCCCCTCCCCAAACCCACCTCTGCTCACTCTGTAACCTGTCCCCTCCCTCCCCCTCTCCCTCCCACACCTGGCTACTCCAAAGCCCCTCATCCCCCTGCCCCTCAATCTGGTCTCCCTCCCTCCCCCAGCCCCTCAATGCTTCCTGCTCCAAAGACCCCCTCCCTCCCCCTGCCAGGACCCCCCTCTCTGTAATCTGTCCCCTCCCTTCTTTCCCAGCCCTCCTCCCCAAACTCCCCCCCCTCTACTCACTTTGTAACCTGTCCCTTCCTCCCCAAGCCCCCCCCTCCTCAGCCCTGGCTACTCCAAAGCCCCTCATCTCCCTGCCAGAATCCCCCTGCCCCCAGCCCCTCCTGCCTCATCTCCCCTCCCCAAACCCCCCACCCTGACCCTCTGCTCACTTTGTAACCTGTCCCTTCCCCTCCCAAGCCCCCCCTCCTCCAAAGGGCTACTCCAAAGCCCCTCATCCCCCTGCCCCCTCCCCCCTCATCTCCCCCTCCCCAAACTCCCCCCCCGTCTGCTCACTCTGTAACCTGTCCCCTCCCTCCCCTCTCCTCCCATACCTGGCTACTCCAAAGCCCCCTGCCCCCTCCCCCCTCATCTCCCCCTCCCCAAAGCCCCCCTGCCCAGCTGTTGCCCCCCCCCCAAGCCCTCTCCCCACCTGTAGGCCAGGCTCATGCACTCGAAGAGCTTGGTGAGCGAGGCGTCGATGCTGAGGCGGCCGTCGCGGGGGCCCCCGGCGCGCCCCCCGTCCTCCTCCTCTTCCTCCTCTTCCTCCTCCTCCCTCCTCCTCCTGCCGCCGCCGCCCCAGCCGCGGCCTCCCCGCGGGCCCAGCCGCCGAAGCGGTAGGTCTGGCAGGTCTGCTCGTTGACGGTGTCGAAGTCGTAGCCCTTCTTGGGCGGGTGCTCGCTGTGCGGAGAGGAGACCATGAAGTGGCCCGAGTGGATGATCTGCGCCGCCCCCGAGCCCCCCGCGCCCCCCGACGCCTCCGACGCCCCCGCCGCCTCCGCCTCGCTGCCCCCCGACGACGACGACGACGACGACGGCCGGGACGCCGCGGGACGACGCCGCCGGGGCCGCCGGGGAAGAGGGGCCGCCCGCAGAGACGCCCCGGAGGCCATCGCGGAGCCCCCGACGCCGCTGCCAGACGACGCGGCCCTCGCGGGTGGGCGGGGCCCGGGAGGGAACGCCCCACCCCCTCGACGCGCGCCACGCCCACCGCCACGCCCCCCCCGCCCTGGGACGCCCTCCGCCGCCTGCAAGGCGAGGGGCGGGGCGAGGGATTCTTTGTCTCCACCCCCCCGCGCGCTTTGGCCCCGCCCACTCGCCCCTGCCACGCAGACACACCAAGACACACACTGATATATAGACACACATACACAGATGCACAAATAGAAAACACACAGACACACACTGAGAGATAGACACACAGATAGATACAAAATACACAGACAGATGCACAAATACAAAAGACACACACTGACACACTGAGAGATAGACACACACTGATATACAGACACACATAGAGATACACAAAAACACAAAACACACAGACAGATAGACACAAACACAGATCGACACAAAATGCACAGACACACTGAGAGATAGACACAGACACAAAACACACACAGATAGACACAAAATACAGACAGTTGCACAAATATAAAACACAGATACACACAGACACACACTGATAGATTCAGATATATAGACACGCGCACACACACACGAAACATATAAACAAACACAAATATACACACACAGACACAGATAGAAACAAAAAACACAGACACAGATACACAAATATAAAACACACATAGAAACAGATACACACAGAGACACACTGATACAGATGCACAGATATACAGACACAAAGACACAGACATAAAACACAAATATACAGACACAGACACAAGAGAGAGACATACACAGACACACAAGGGGTCCACATGGGGCTCGTCAGAATCCCCTGCTGGGGCCAGACTTAGGGGTGAAGCCCCCCACCCCAAAAGGCCAGTCCTGGGGGGAGGGGCAAGCACAGCCTCCCCCATTGGGTGGACAAAGGACCCCCCACTCCACAGGGGTTTATCATCTCCCTTTCAAGCTCCCTGCAGCCCATCTCAGGGTCCCCCCTGGTCCCCCTGAAAACTGGGGAGGGGGTTGCTGAGTGAAAGCTTCGCTCTGAGGGATCCTTTAGCTCTGAAGCCCCTCAATCTCAGCTGGCCGTCTATGGAGGGGAAGCCCCTGGTCCACTTGCAAAATGTGGCCCTGGGGATGGCCAAGACTCTGCAAGGTCAAAAAAAGAGAGAATTTTTTATTAAACGTTTCTCAATTTTTTTTATTTCTAATGCAGTACATTCTGATAGAACCCACTTCAAAGCATTTGGGGGGGGGGCTCCCTCATTCTCAAGAATGCAAACGGGTCCTTGGACCTGTTGGTCTAAATGTTTTCTACCCAGAAAGGTTTTTTTCCTTCCCCAGCTGTCCCTGGGTGGGCTGAACCACCTCCGTCCCCTCCCTCTTGTGCCTCAAGACCCCCTGTGCAAAAAGGGGACCCTGCCCAGGTTTCCAGACAAGCCCTCCTGCAAATGCCGCCCCCACTCCCAGGCTTCCAAAATTCTACAGGTTTCAGAGCAAAGCAGAGTAAGATATTTTACATAAAACTCTGCCAAATAGTCACTCGGTGAGGGATGGGCGGTTTCTAAATATCACAAATAAAAGAATTTACAATATTCAAGGGCAGAAATGTTATCGAGCAGGCCGCCGAACAGGCAATCCTCTCAGCAGAAAGGGGGCCCGAAAGGGGGCCCACCTATAATTAAATAAACGATCACACTAAGAAAACCCCTCCCCCGGGGGGGGGGGGGGGAGGGGGGGGGGAACTCAAGTCACCAAAAGGGACCTGACTTTTTCCAAGCTTGACGATATTGGAGCCCGACGACGGTCGTAATGAAAAAGCGTCACACGCTGAGATGTCGGAATTTTTAAGTTTTTATTTTTCTAAATGAAATCATTGTACATTGTACAAACCATAGCTACTGATGGAATAAATAAGTGGGAAAAAATTGTATTGCTGTACAACACACACAAAATCATTGAAGGTGGAGGGGAAAAAAAACCCTATTAGGTATTTCTTTTTAAAAAAAAAAAAATCAAGGGGAAAAAAAAAAGGAAACCCACAAAATCCTTTACACCTCGCTAGCGGGCCTCGAGATACCGTATAAAGAATATCCATGTTTCAGGGTGAAGAAAGCGAGCCCCTTGCAGTACCCATCTCCCACCCGCCCATCAAGCCAGTCCGTTTTATGCTGCCTCGTTATTTTGTTGTTCTTAAAGTGCCCGCACTTTTTTGGAATGTTTTTAACAATTCTTCCCCCAAAACGTTATGAATTTCAGAAACAAACAGTTCGGCTATAAAAAAAAATATTAATCTGCCTGCTCCTATAGCTTCCATCTAGAATCAAAGTCAGTTCATTTGCCTTGCTAGCTTATGTCTGCCTGCTTCGAGGGCCAAATAACCAGAATGTAGGTTAGGAAGCACGTTTCAACTCTTTGCACTGTATTTCTGACTAACGCTGGATATGACCCGTCACGATGGGGGCTGCACAATTCACACACCCCTCCCTCCGCGGGCCTGGCGGAGGACTGTGTTTTATTCACATGAGAATTTCCAGTCACTGTGATGCAAAATCTCAATACCCCCCCCCCCCAAACTTAGGATCTGCAATCAAAACCAGTTGCTGAAACCGAGTCCCAGTAAAGGCAGACCAAGAAGCTGGATCTGGGACCAGGTCTGAAGAGATGGAGACCCTCCCCACATACACCCTGAACAGCTGGTTCTGAACCCTAAACTTTCCAACGGTTCAAAGCGTGAACAAGCTGCACGACCGAAGGGCCTGTCTGTGTTATTAGGCACTTCGAAAAGAAAACAAAAACAAAAACCACAAAACACTATCTAGACACCATCGTACAATTCTGCCTATCTGGCCTGTATGATTTCCCCCTCCCTCCCCATCTGGTGCACACAGACATTAATAGGAATCATTTGTACAACTCAACTCTCTCAGCCTTTGTTGGGGATAGAGGTTCAAATCATCATTCGAGAGCTCTGGGAATGCTGGTTTGGGTTGGTTTTTTTTTCTTCTTCTTCTGAGCCGTGGAAGGACAAAATGACCGCTATTCTTTCAAAGTTAACTCCTGAGCGTTTTTTTCCTGCTGCAGAATTCCATCTCAAGTTCACGGAAAATCGGCCGCAATAGGCCACGGGAGAGATCAAGAAGCCAGTTTTATCACTACACTTTTATCAAATGTCAGCAATGCCAATAAGATCTTTTCTACCAAATGAAATGGTTGAGGTATTTTAGTGCTATTTTTATATATATATATATATCTATATATACTTTATCCGTTTAAGTACAGGATTCAGCTTTGAAATTAAAGAAAAAAGAAAAGCCTACTTGCTTCCTTGGAAACTGTAAAAAAAAAAAAAAACCACATTAAAGCACAACCACAAAAATCGAAGCTTTTATAGACAGCGACTATTGGACAGGGTGGTTTCAGAGCCATGGACCGTTTGAGTGATCAATTAAAAGCTACATAATTTACAATTTTTTTTTAAAGTTCAAAAAATATATTTGTCTATTTCATAGATCAGTTGACGTGTCCCCCCAAGAAAACCCCACAAACCCTGGTTAAACATGGATGTCATGTCCATACTAACTGCGATTTAACCAGTCATCGCCATGTCTGAAGCAGATACACCAATGAGAGAAAAGAAAAAACCATATCACTTTAGCATTTAATTCTGCATTATTGTGCAAATAATGTCTCTTTCAGATAATTAAGGAATCTGTGATCCAGGCACAAAGAGACTTTCTAAGAAGCACACTGCTGTCGTGAATAATTTGCAAGAAAAAAATTAATTTTGATGAGATGCAAATATTTATTTCAACACAAAAATGAGATCTTCCCAGATTTGAATGCATGGCCTCTTTCTATGCATTTAACGCCTCTACAAACATTGGATGGAAGGTCAGAATTGACACTTTCACTTCGCCCAACCTTTTTTTTTTCCCATAATTAATTGCAAATGCTATACAGTAGTCAAAACTAAAACCATTTTCACCATTGGAGAAATCAGAAATACGTATTTTTCAAACGAGCAATTATTAAGGGAAGTGTCTGGATTGGAAGCTTCTTTTTTTTAAAAAAAGCCACCCACTCATTCCACTATAGCAAACTACGCGTAACTGTTTTATAGTTGTGACAAAAAGCATTTGTTCTCATGTGTTGCCTTTTACGTTTTATAAGCATTTCTCCTAAAGGCAGAGAATATTCCCACTTACCCAAAGGAGTTGTAGGAGCTTATCCAGGCCTTAAGTGTGCAAATCTCCGTGTGTAATCTAGCAAGCCCAGCCGCAACGTAGCCCCATTGGAAAACGACAAAGTGCAAATCTGTTGCGAATGAAGCTGTGTTGATTTCACAAGATTTTTGCCCCCAGCAACTGGCATAAGAGCACCCCAAATGTGTAAGCCACTTAGCCCTTTTCAGCTGCTACATTAAACCAACTTCTGTGGCCAAGTCAAGTGTGCACGGGACACAGCTGTCTGAACGAGATTCCGAAAATCACAAAGCTGTATTTACAAGCAGATCTTGAGACAAAGGAGCCTCAAGTACACAAATGTTGGACAACAGTCAACATCTTGTGAAAGAACAAAAGGGTGAAATCCAGTTGAATCTTTAAAAATGATTGGAGAATGGATCTATTCAAAACTTGCACCTGCCATTCAGTTTGAATCCATTTGTAACGAAGCCACAAGAAGGCTCAAATACGGATTTCCAGATTCAAGTCCTTAAAATGCATAATTTGCTTTTGTAACCAAATAAACCCTAATTTAAGTAAACATCAGAAACCAGTCGATCAATTTTAAGAAGGCTACATTGGGCAGCCTTGTAGATGCATTATTCCACTACGAAAAGTCTGTAAAACCAAGAAAGGGGGGGGGGCACACAAGGTAGTGCAGGAGAGATTTACTTACTTAAAACATTTATACTTGAAACGCTGCATTCAAAAAAGGAAGTGAGCCCTGGAGGTACAGGAAAATCAACATCGGTGAGCATCCACCCCACCCTCCAACTGTGAAAATGGCTTCTTAATTTCTCTCATGTTATCTCTTATCAGGACAGTAAGCACCAGAGTATTTGTTTAAAAAAAACAACAATGGAACGTATTTTATATGGCATTGTACAAACAGGCCACTTTGCAAAGGAGAAATTTGCAGAATTAGCTCTGCTTTGTTTTTTTTGTTTGTTTTTTTTTTCCATTTTGGGACACAAGGCACACACACACAAAAAAAAAACCCAAAACAAGAAGAGACATCACATCAGAACAGTGAACTTCACATGTGAAGAGAAATACCTGACCTGTACCATTCTTAAATATCTTATAATGTTAAATAGAGAATGGGAGAAAAAAAAAATACATCAGCAGCATAATTGTAATTCTGACATTAGAAACAGTGCGTCGACCCCTCCTGAGTGTTTACTCTAACCATTTCGGAGACAGTAACTTAAATGCTCAACAGTTTTGCTTCACAGGGAACAAAAAAAGAGTTTTCAGTGTCTGAAGAGATTTAAACGTTTGCTTCGTTTTCCTTGGATTTTCGCCTGGTAACTTGGAAAGTTTATAGGAGTTCCCTCCTCATCCAAGAGAAGAAGATGCTTATGTACGGTTGTTCGACAATTTAGCCCATTGATGTACCTTTACATAAAAACCGCCCAGGAAAAATCTAAAGTTTATATTTCATCCATATTTTGTTGAGAGGGCGCCTCCACTTTCATCTTTTTAGGAGGTGGCACTCCTTCAGAGTCCTTAATGCAGGGAAAGAGGGAGAAAGGGGGGGGGAGAATTAGCATTAGCAACCAATAAAATCAACCGGTTATTTTTTGTATGTCAGGACAAAAATAAATAAATAACATCACTATTAAAGGGAACTCTTCAGTCCGACCAGAGTTACTTGTATAATTTTCCAAATCGCAGGACTTATTTCTGTACATCACCACACCGGAAGGTCATTGCGCACAGCTATTTGTGTGGCTCTTCTCTCTATATCAGGGAAGCAAAGCTGGCTGAGGAATTCTGGGAGTTGAAGTCCACAAGTCTAAAAGTTGCCAAGGTTGGAGACCTCAGCTCTATATAACAATGAGTATTTAAAGAAATCTCTGAAAATTCTCAAAAGTGTATCAAAAGAACATCTGGGAAACATACACTCTGTGTATGTGGGCTATAAACAATCCAAGGGTTATACATTTCTTGTACTACAGTTGCTGGTGCCACGTTTAAAGATTTGAAAGAAAGAAAAACATTTCATCCTTATAACTTAATCCAATCTTCATGTTTTCTTATTACAATTTTAAAATGAAGAAAACCGGCAGAACTAACTGATCAAAATTGGTTCTCTTCCCTAACTAATCTTCCCAGTTTTTTTAACACTCAATATTAGGAAACAGAGCACACTTTAATCCAGTGTTTCTTAACGTTGGCTACTTTTAAGATGGGTGGACTTCAACTCCCAGAATTCCCCAGCCAGCAGGTTGTTTTTCAGCCTCATCGCTAAGGACTTGTCAGAAGGGCAACAAATACTTCATCTCAATCAGTGGGTCAGGAAAGCCCGGTTTTATTTCAGGCAGCTGATTGGCTAAGTGGTTATCTCAAGCTTCCATGGATTTAGAATTACAGTTTAAGTTTGAAACAAGAGATGCAGAAAAGCAGGATAAAAATGAAGAGGGGGTTTTTTTTTTGTTACCTGAGAGTTTTTAGATGTCTCTGTGGTTGTGTCATTTTCCGCTGAAGGCTCTGTTTCAACTTTCTCTGAACTGTTGATGGAATTCTCCATTGAAGACTGTGAATTCTGTTCATCAGATGCATCTGGGGGGAGGAAAATGGCAAGAAAACAGCTCTTCAAATCAATCGACCTTCTGGTGCTTTCAATTCGCTTCTATCACCAGATTAAAGAGAAATTAAAGAGAAGTTGGCTGAGTTTTGCTGCCACTGCAGTTCTGAAGACACTTTTGCTTTGTTCTTGAAGGTTGGACATACTTATTCTAAAGATTTCTTTTCTGCAGGACAGCAAGGAAGAAACAAAAAATTGCCAATGGCAAGCGCCAAGCACTTTAAAAAGAAGTTTTGAATTAAAAATAACTTTTAACTGAAAGGCTGAAGCTGTACTTTTCATCTAATATAAATGCTCACAGATCTTTTTCCTTAACCAGAGGATTTTTTAAATATAGAATTCAGCTGACTAGAACACTTTTGAGCCACCACTAGAGGGATGTATAGTATTTCAGACAATGTGAAAGAGAATCAATGTGATTTAAAACCCTTTGGAAACATTTGGACAGTGTTTCTGTGAGATGCAAGGTGTGAACCTAACTCCTTTTCAAGCCTTCACAAACTGGTAATTTGTGATCCAGAATTCAAAATCCCAATAATAAAGACAAATTGGCATGCTGGACAAAGTTCCTGTTGTGTCTTTCAAGATTTTTTTGGGGGGGGAAAGAAAGCCAAACTGCTTGGTAAAGGTAAAGTTGCCAGGGTTGAGAAATCTAATCACTTAGGAAGAGCTATTGTGAAACTCCATTTTTAATAAATTTCCCGCTCTTAAAAGTCCAGCTTGCTCTTCAACCTAATCACTAAGTAATTGTCAGAGGGACAGCAAATATTTGATCCTCAACCAGTGGCTCAGGAGATGCAGCCTCCGTGACTCAACTGATGAAGAATACAAGATCAACTAGTTGTCTTTTAAGAATAAAGAAGGCATTAAATGGAGAATCGGTTTCCAGTGTGGTAGAAAGGTGGGGGGCTGCTTTTAAAGAGTAAAGAGTTAACACCAAGAGGTGCTCAGCTACAAAACATAGAGCAGCCTGTACCATGCATCTTGCCTACCAACTCTCTGCAGGGAAATGGTCCCCATCGTTACCTTCTGAGCCAGCTTCTTCTTTTGCATCCGTCAGAGTATCGTCCGACTTTGAGCCAGGACCGTCTACCTGTCCTGTTGAGTTCTGCTCGGGCACAGGACTTGAATTGCTGCTGTTCTCCTGCTTTATGGGGGAAGCATCAGCTATAGAGCTCTGGTTGCTATTGTCATCTGCAAACAAGAGAGATCCACTCAGTGAAAGAGGCTGAAGATCAGCATGCGCAAAATCCAGGCCATGAGGTTTCGACCCCACACGACTGAGCACCACGCAAATCTGCATTTCACAAATTCACTCGATTAAAGCAGAAATGCGGTGCCAGTTCAGACATTCAGTGTCCAAAGGGCTTGATGAACAGAAGGTGACATTCAACAGGTTGGCCCTGATAAGGAAATTGTCCAGGGCACAACTGCTGACATCACAGTATCCACTCGGGCATTTGCTGAACGAGGCTAAGAAAAGCTACCGCTTCACCCATTTATCCTCTCGGAGAGACATCCAGAAGGGAAAATTACAGATTCAACGGAGGGTAACCATGGCAACATGTAATGACTCAATTTAAATGTTAAACACGTGCTTCAGGGGAGAGAAAGATCTTCATTTTTTCAGGTTCAACTTTATCAGGCTAACCTCCTCTTAGATGAGATGAACATTTGGAAAACTTTATTTTTAAAAGGCCCCCAAATGCAATCAGCACGAAGCTACAGTCACACAAGGGACAAGATGCCAGATCCCAGGGGATTTAGTTCCCCATTTCTCACCACACTGGTTACTGGGCTTATACTTTTTTTTGTGGGGTGGGGTGGGGGGCAGGGCAAAGAAACACGTAGGGGTACACATTTACATATAAAAGACCAAATAAAAGTCAAAGTTTATTTATTTTTTTATTAGTTTATATAAACAACTTTTTGGATTACAGCACTATGGAAAAATAAAGTGCCATAATGATCAGCAGGAGACTAGTTAGCCTCAATGGTGCCTTTTTACTCGGCCCCTTGTCAGTTGCTTCTCTTCAAAGCTAAAACTAAGATTGCTCCTAAGGAAGGTTTAGTGTCTCCTGCTATGCTGGCTGGCATCAGCAGCCACCTCCTCCCGGCCCCACTCACCGTGCATATCCATCATCCCAGGGGATGAGCTGTTTTCGGGGGTCGTCACCTCAGAACCGCACTTTTCATCTTTGCCCTTTTTCTTGTTCTTGGCTTTCTGAGAGGTGGGAGAGGAAGATGGTAAGTTTGGGCAGGGTTTACATTGAAAGTGAGGCTTTTCCACTGAAGTCTGAGCCCCTAAAACCGCCACTCTTGTGCAGATCTAAACCACCTTGTTGCTGGCTAGTTTGTCTGCCTTTTAAAATTTAATTTGAAACAGAAAGGTGTAAACGTTTTAAAAAAGGAATATTGACTATGATCATTACACAGCTTCAGAAAAAACCTACTTATGTTTCGGCTTCTTCTTTCTACATGTTCATTTATGACATTCGCATGTTTATATACGATGCAGTGCATAAGATGAACTTTGGTCTGAAATTTGTGTCTTGTCTACTTGTTATCAGTTTTTAATACCACTTATTCATATTCACGCTAGTCATGATAGTAACTGGGTCAATCGGGAACCACAAACCTCGCTGGGTACGTAAGGGCTTCTGCCCACCCCCACTCCCACCCACCCTCAGCGCCATTACGAAAGATAAAGCAGCAGAGAAAGACAATAGCATCCGTTGTGTGTATGTGGGGGGGAAACATGCATGAAAAAGGATGCGGCAGTTTCAATTAGAAGGTGACGTAATTGGTCTTCTAAGAGAAAGTGCCAGCTGCACCACTCTCAATACACCAAGCCTGCTGAGCGGAAAGAAAACCCAGATGATCGCAAGGGACTCTCGCTCAGAAATAAGAGCAGGAGGGTCAGGCAATGTTCCACAACAGGCAAACACCATCACCATCAGAGGCAGATGGCAACATGACAGACCCTGACTTAATATTGAGGATGTCTGTTTTGAGAGGCACCTTGGCAGGCAAGATGGGTGAAAAATACAACAGCTGCGCCTAGGTGCGCAGTAATGTTTACTGGTCTAAGGTAACTGCAAAGACAGGTGTGCTGAACTCTTTCATATGTCATCGGCAACTCCCAAGAGGCTGAGCTGAAAAGTCTGGCTTCCCACAAGAGAACTGAGGGTTCATTGCAAAGTTTCACGTAAGACAAATGTTTTAGGAAAGGACGCTTAACATTCAGTACGATGCTATTTACGCTGGCAAAATAGTCGTTTTCTCTAAACTTTCATACGAGTGGGGTATCGTGAAATACTCACATCATCTACTTTGGGCTCTGTTATTGGCACCCATTTGTAGATCCTAAGGGATGTGTCGCCAACTGTCACCCATTTCTTCTCCCTAGAAGGTGGCAAAATTATAAACATTAGTTACAGGGATAGTCTCAAAGCCTCTGTGCAAAACGCAGGCAACAAAGAGAAGAAATGGAATAAGCCTCACGTCTACAGAGGGAGGCAAAAGGACATAAAGCAGGAGGAACTTAAGTTACAATTTCATAAAATAAGGAGAAATAGTCTTTGATTTATGACCACTAGACCAGAATTTCCATTGTTAAGCAAGGTGGCTGTTAAATGAATCTTGCTGATTTTACTACTTTTGCAGCAGTTGTTAAGCAAATACTACTGCAATTGTTAAATGAATCCCCTTTATTTATTAACAGATACATTCATTTCTTTCTCCACTATCCCGTTATTCACACAATTTTTCTGCTGTTTAAATCTGCCAGTTGACAGTTACCGTATTTTTCCGAGTATAAGACGCACTTCGCAAATACGGGCCTGTCTTTGGCCTCCTGAACCCTCCGCACATCACGTTTTTGCCCTCCCTGACCCCCAGGACTCTGCAGTGCTCCGCATGGCCCATTTTCAGCCTCCCGAACCCTCCATGCATCCTGTTTTTGCCTTCCCCAGCCCCCAGGAGGACTCTGCAGGCCAAAAACGGATGTGTTTTTAGCAAAAACGAGAGGCCCGGAGGCCAAAAACTATTTTTTTCCCTTGTTTTCTTCCTCTAAATCTAGGTGCACCTTATAGTCCGAAAAATACGGTACATCTTTTTAAATTACCTTTTTCTTTCCTCACTATTTGGTTTTGTCAAAGACCTATAAATGAGACTCAAGAACATTTCTTTGATCCAAAAAAAAAAAAAAAAATGAAGGAAGCAACAAAAAGTGCATCAGGGACTTCTGAGTCTTTGGGTGGGATCACCTACAGCAGTACTGTTGAAATACTAATTTGGGGATTAGAGGTTAATGCAAGCAGCTCTGCTTTATAAAAGCCATTTTCTCTGATTATCTGGCACAAGGTGAATCGTGGTAAACATCTCTTATGCAAACATGTTAACAGACAATGCTAGGAATTTCTAATTTCCTGGATCAGCCTACCACTCACATCAATATCATTTAATCAGATATTAAACACAACCTTTTAACAGGATTTAAATACACGGCTTCCCCAGTACAGTTGGGTTTGCAGATGAAATAAAAGGTATATGATCGCTTACATGTTTCAAAATATACCCAATCGGCATCTACGTTGGGTTAAAACAAATATTTTCAAGATAGGACTTCACATTCCCATTTTACTATGTGCTAAGCAGATAAATCTAATAAAGGGGGAAAGAGCCATCTGGCAAACAGAAGGCCGTACAGCACCACCCTGCCCCCCTAAACTTGGCATTAGAAATGCACATTTGATCCAGAAGAAATCTGTACAGAATGCTTTCCAAGATAAAAGACCCCAAAATTTTCATCTAAACATGCCCCATGGAGATGACACAGTAAATCTGTAGGACTCAACCAGAGGTTGGACTAGTCTAGTGTTAAAGAAGCCACTTTGCTGAAAGCCTTCTTAATTCTTATTAATAACAGAAACTCAAGAAAGAAAGCGACGTATCTGCTCTCAACAGTTGACCTAAAGCAAAAACAGCAAGCCATCCAACATTTCAAAGAAACATTGGCCGCTGAATCTTCTGGGCAATTCCAAAATTGCCAGCATTCACTCAGTATGTTTTCCAGTCACCATGGAAGAACATTATTAACACATTCAATCACTTCACTTTTGGGGTCTTCAGCAACTTCCTAGACCACCAGTGGTAAAGTCCTAGCTTAAATATTTCAGGCTTCCGGGCTATCCATACAAAGCAAAGCTTGCATCATCTTTGTCTGAGATGATGCCAGACAAAATCAGGTCATCATGATGAGCCCACAGTTCATTTTAAATTAAATTCCCCTGTTGATGGTTGCAATGTGTCAGGTATTACACAAATCACATACATCGTAATGATTAAGCTCCATTTTAGAAGGGGACAAAAACAGGCATAAGGGTTTTCTTCTTCTTCAAACTGGATTTCTGCTTTACATATGATAGACTGTCTTGGTTTACACATCATGATAAAATGCACTGTTTATTTATCTGCTGTACATTATCTAACTTGCAGGAATGATAGAAATGGCTGTTAGTGGCTGTAGGTGTTTTTGCTGTTTATCTGAAATGAAGTCGAACACTGTCTTATTTTTAAATTCTCTGTATTTAACAGGAATATTCTGTCACAGATTTTATTTCAAAATACACTATAGATGAGTGTTTAAAGTAAGCATCTAAAATGAATTTTTAGAAGGAGTTAGGTCTGTTCAATAAGTTTAAAGAATGATCTTGATACACCATCATAAGTAATCAAACCACATGCTTTGTCAATCAGTATGTAGAATGTATGTAGTTGGGGTGTTTTAAATTTATTGGGCCAAAATTTGTTTAATTCTTTTAAAAATTTTAAATTTTGTATGTGATTTTTTTTTATTCTTGGCTGTTCACCGCCCTGAGTCCAGCAGGAGAAGGGCAGTATAAAAATTTAATAAAATAAAATAAAATAAATAATAGAAGGATACTGGGAAAAAATACATGAGAAAATTTATGGTTTGTTGGTTCCCAAGTTTTCAGATAAGTGAACTGTTGCCAGATATAAATATTTCCCATGAAGGATGTCTGTTATACAGTATTGTGTCTTCAAATCCATTGCCTTTAACTTTTCCCCTGAGAATGACTGGAATTATGAAACAATAATCTTATTTTGGATCTGTAAAGCCCAAGCCCTGGAGCTATGAAACATCTCTGATTGCTTCTGCCAAGTGAACAAGAAATAGTGGCAACAGCCCAAACTCTAGCTATATTAATTAGGAAGTCCCAAGGATTTCCCCCAACAAAATGAATATACACACAATCCCCAACTCTTTTACGTTGCCACCCAGTTGATCAAAATAATTGGAGGGGGAACAAGAGTTGCCCATAAACTCATCACTCCGCCTGTAATTGTTAAAAAATATTTTCTAATTATTACAAATGGAAAATTCATCACCTACAAAAAAATAAAATAAAGAGAGACTCAAGCACTCCACAATTTTAATTGCATCTAAATACAGCTTTGATCCAAGCAATTCTAAAGCTAGCTTTAACTTTCAATGCAATTTGATGAAGCTTTAATTTCATGCCAAAATTTCCACTTAAAAATACCGAAATCGGAATGTTGATGTTCTCATCAATTCATCATTATATATTTACAAGCAGATAACTGGTCTTTTGTCCTCAAAGAAGACAAGCAGAACAGTTTGGTTGACTTAGGAAGAAGTAAACCCAATGTCCCTGTACGCACAGAGAATTTCCTGGCTTGAACAATTTTTTCAAATGTCAGACTCATCGACAATCTCCTTTTGAAGGAATTGAAGCTACTATACTAGGATCACCTGCTCACGGTTACTATAGCAACTGAAAACACTAGCCAAAAGTTTTCCCCGGTTTGTTTGTTAAGCAGAAAGAAAGAAAGATTGGTATATTTTTCTTCCCTTTATGGTGGGGAATCAAGTACCATGCAAAACCAGAAAAGCATCAAGCATTGTCAATTCTCTCCTGCTTCTAAATGAGCTCATTGACTGTTTTTCTAGGTTGAAATTTCTCTATTGAGATGAGGGGGAAAGTACCTTGATTCCTTGCACAACACAAGATTGCTCTCTCGATTCAATTATATTTTTTTAAAAATTTTAATCAATTGTCCTGTAAGAGAAAGTGTTTCTCTTAAGATCTACTTGTTTTTAACAATCACCTAGAAAAATTGCTATTTAAGAACTGGAATCAATTGTGCAAGGCATAATGCAACTGAATGAAGTTGTTTAAACTTCTCTTGAAGAACATTTTAAGATGTCATCTGATTCAAAAATACCAAACTGCACAATGATTGCTTATTGTGTCTGAATAACCATTTCACTGTATTATGTTTAATTATGCCATACAAAATTCCACAATAACAGTCATACAACCTTTCTCAAAAGCATGCAATTGTTACAAGCTGCAAACATTCAATAAAAAAGGATGGATTTATCAAGGTTACAACAATTTAATTGTATCAGACAAACTCAAGTAGCCTCTTTCTGGTTCTGCTCAGAATTTAAATCAACAGAACAATACAAGCAAGCAGTTTTGACTCGAAGCATAGAATTAAAAAAGAACAAAGCACTTCTCTAAAGAATATTGCACCATAATACTTTGGACATTTTACAGAATATCCTAAGCTAACAATTACAGAAAAAAAATATGGAACAGGACATATCAGAGAAACACACCCTGAAGGCCTACGGCAGGTAGCAGAACTACTCATAGAGAACGTAGAGAAGTCACACCTTAATGACTAAGTATGTCTTGTGTGGTGAAAACCGCACCTTCACTATTCAGCATAGGCAGCTGAGATGATCCCAATATACCTGGGTGGTACCCTCCCAGGCCAAAAAAACCCTCAAGACTGGGGTCCTTGGTGCGCTCCGATTATTCTTTTGCAGATATTTCATGACCCAACTAGGGAACATCATCAGTGCTAGAAGTGGGGGGGATAGTTGCGGAGAGGAGGACTGTGGGATCCTTAGCACTCTCTGAACTTGGTTGTCTTTTGCAGACATTTCACAACCCAACTAGGGAACATCATCAGCGTACGGGTGTGTGAGGTTTGCTACATTCTGTCACACTGATGATACTCCCTAGGTGGATAATGAAACGTCTGCAAGAACACCATCAGGCTCAAAGAGCACCAAGGATCCCACAGTCGTGGTCCTCCACCCCGCAAACCCCACTCCCTTCTAGCACTGATGATGTTACCTAGTTGGGTCATGAGACTTCTTCTGCAAGAAAACCATCAAGGACATCACAATGCTTTTCCTCCTTTTCTTTTCCTTCTCTCCACAAACCACACTCCCTCCTAACACTGATGATGTTACCTAGTCGGGTCATGAAACATCTGCAAGAAAACCACCAAGCTCAGGGAGCCCTGAGGACCCCACAGTCCTTCTTCTCTTCTTCTTCCTCCTCCTCCCCACAAACCCTCCTCCCTTCTAGCACAGATGATGTTACCTAGTCGGGTCATGAGACATCTGCAAGAAAACCAAGAAAGGCTTAGGGAGCACAGAGGACCCTTCTCCTTTCAACCCTGAGCTACCAATCTTCTCTTCTACCGGGACCACTGGTGAGCCTGTGGACTGGCTATATCCTTCAAAGGCCATCCAAGTGCTGTCCAGCACCTTCAGGAAGAACCCAGGCAGCCAGATCCTGCCCTGGCCTCCCTTGCTGGGACCATCAGCTGGGCAGGAGAGGGAGGGTCAAGATGAGGGCAGGGAGAGCCAAGGGCCAACGACAGAAGCAAGGGGGGAGGGGACAGGGACTCCCACCAGAGGGAAGCCACGTGGATTAGTGGCCAGGTGCGTTGGGGGGGGGGGACGCCGCGAGGGGGGCCTCCCCCCCCCCCCCAAAGGGCTCAGAAAGGGCCGAGGAGGCCGGGAGGAACCGAACCACCCCCCACCTCCGCCCCATCCGGGCTTCCAAAGTGGGGAGAAGGAAAAGAGGCGAAGGAGGACTTCAACTCCCATCAGCCCCCTCAGCCGCGGCCAAGGACCGATGGGAGTTGTAGTCCAGAGCCTCGGGTCGCCGCTCCCGAAGGCCCACAAGAGCCGCTTCTGAGGCGGGTTTGCGGGGGGGGGCTTCCGTGGGGGGGGGGGGGGGCCCCCCCCCCCGGGCGTCCCCCCCCCCCCCCCCCCCCCGGAGCCCCCTCCTCACCATTTGCGCACTTTCTCGATGGCCGCCATCACCCGCTTGATATCATCCTTGGCGCGGCTGCGGGTCTCGGCCCGCACCGACCGGCCCGACATGCTGCTGAGGTGGCAGCGGCGACGGCGGAGAGACCCGGACTGAGGCGCCGGCGCGCCGGCTCTGCTCGGCAGCTGAGGGGCGAAGAAGGGCAGCAGCCGGAGGAGGAGGAGAGGGAGGCCCGGCCTGGCTGACGGCGGCGCCCGGACGCACAATGAAGCCTCCCGGCCGGCTCCGCCCCGCCTCGAAGGAGGGAAAAAAGGCCCCGAGGCCGCCAGGGAGGCCAGCCGAGGCGGTGGGCGGGAGAGGCGGGCGGAGCGGACTGCGCAGGCGCGGGACACGCCGCGCAGGCGCCGATCCCTTCCCGGCTCGCGCTGATGGGAGGAGGGGTTGGAGGAGGGGAGGGGCCGGCGCGTTCCCGCCTTTTTCTGTCAGCGCGGCCGCCGCTGAGGCGTCGAAGGGAAAGAGGGTGGGAGGAGCGGAGTGGAAGATGGGCTTCGTTGTTCCTCCTCCGCCTTTCATGGATGGATGGATGGATAGATGGGATAGATAGTTAAACTCATATTGAGATAGATGATGGATAGATAGATAGATAGATAGATATAGATAAACTCATATTTAGATAGATGATGGATGGATGGATAGATCGATAGATAATGATTGATAAACAGTCATATTGAGATAGATTAGGGATATGATAGATAGATAGATAGATAGATAGATAGATAGATAGATAGATAGATAGATAGATAGATAGATAGATAAAGTCATATTGAGATAGATGATGGATATGATAGATACATAGATAAACAGTCATATTGAGATAGATGATAGATAGATGATTAAGAGAGAGAGAGAGAGAGAGAGAATCTATCTATAGATATTAATTTGGATGGATAGATCCATCCAAATTTTGATCTGTGGGAATGCTGTGATAGTCATAACTGCAAGGATCGGTCCTAAGCCACATTTTTCAGGACCATTGTTAACTTTGAATGGTCACTAAATGAATGGTTGTAAGTCGAGGACTACATGTCAAAAGATCTGGGAAACCTGCTTCGGCACTTCTCACTTTGGATGAGTGACAAGAATTTCCCAAGCTTTATAAATAACAAAGTCTGCAACAACTGTTTTTTTTTTCTACAAAAAACAAAAAACCAACAACTTTATTTTCCATCCCATTGAAACGAAACGTTTGTTTTTCAAAAAAATAATAAGTCGTAAATCTGAGGACAGAAGACAATCCAAGGCGAAAAAGGCTGAGAATGTCAATCACGGAGTCTTCAGCGACAATAAACTGCCATTCGTGGCCTCATCGGAGGTTTGCGTCTCTGTCACCACATCCGTCGGTTCTGGCAATGGTAAGGCCAGGATTTCCTTGGTGAAGTAAGCTGCTGTCACCTCCTCAGGGATTTCTTCCTGAATTATATCCTCTGAGCCTGCAAAAGAGAAGAGATGCTACGATTTGGTGCCACCTGAAAACCATGCAAGGAATCTACAAGATCGCTCTATCCACAAGCTACACTGAATTGATTATTATTATTATTATTTTGCCCTTTAATTGCAATGCAGCTATTCTTACATTCCTGTGAAGAAGTGGGGGGAAAGGATCTCAATTGGGATATATTTTTGCTCTCCCCCCCCCTTTCCCCTCAGTACTGGGATGGGAGACCATTAAGCGATCCCAGGGCTTTAAGATGAACTTGAAAATTAGGCAAAGAATCCCAAAGGAAGTAGTAGCAAGCCATTACCATAACACTGCCAAGAAAATGAGATTACTTTCCTCAAAAAACTGAGTCCAACTTTATTTTTAACAGTGGACAAGTACTGCTTTTTACACTGGTTTTATCTCTGCAAGCGAAAACTATAGTCTGTTTTTCTGGCTTTTGACAGTAATTTAGATTCGACTGCTTGGATTTCCCTTCAATTTGATTTGTTCTCCCTAGTTTGACCCTAAATGTGTTTAAAACCCCAAGACTGGCGGGAACTGAATTACCCTAATACAGATAGCTCTCGGATTAATGACCATCATGAATAAAGGTCATAAAATCAGGTCGGCCATGTGGGTAATTGACGACCCTAATGGGGCAGGCTCCATTATGGCTGTTAAATCCAGGATTGTCCTGCAGAGGTGTGGAATCAGATCGGGCACCCACAAAGCGCAAAGGATCCCTTTCTGCAAGAGGGGTTTGCAGTTCAGCACCTGTGGGATCATAGCTGCCGCACTCCACGCGGCCGCCCTCGGGGTTGAAGCCCAGAAGCGTGGTGAGATACTCGGCCAACTCTTCTTCGGTGAAATGCTCTCCTGCTCGAGAAAAACGAGAAATCACTCAGTCACCTAACCCAAGCAGAACCACCAAGGTTTCCCAAGGTTTTGCATCAGGGGTGGGTTCTAAATGTTTTTACTACCAGTTCTGTGGGCATGGCTTATTTTGTAGGCATGGTTTGATGATCATGTGACAAACAAATTATTTAGGATTTAGCAGAGGTACTGATCTACCAGGCTTTTAACTGCTTGCAGAGCCGTGCCAGTCTAACCATTTGTTTTTGGAGCGCACTGGTCTACCACCACACTGCCTTTTACCGTTGATTAGCTGTAGGGCAGCCCTTTGAAGCGCCGTGGCAAGAGTTTAAAGTTTTTTGCTGCTCTGCCACCACCGAGAGCATTGGAAGCTGCTTTCAGGCAGGTTGGCCTCAATTGCCAATCTACCACCACCGAGCAGTTTACAAGGAGCAGATCGGTTCTAGCAGATCAGTTGGGAGGCTTTTTGGCTTGTCAATTTAAAGCAACGGTGTCTTGTTTTTTTTTCCCGTCTTCTGGCCCCTGATTTTTTCCTTCTAGCCGATCAGCTGGAACTCGGGAGGCAGAGAATAGATTGGGGGCAGGGCCAGGCAGAGGTGGTATTTACCAGTTCTCCGAACTACTCAAAATGTCAACTACCAGTTCACAAGAACCGGGGAGAACCGGTAGCAACCCACCATTGTTTTGCATGCTCAACGCACACACGCCCACACACATACCTTTGTGTTGCAGCAACAACAGCAGGTCATCTCGGTTGATGGTAGCTTCATGGTCCTCATTCTTGTAACCCAACATTTCGAAGGCTTGCTGAATTTCCTTCGAGGCCAGCCCAAAGGCAGGCCGATGGTTCACATAGAGTTTGATGAAGTCCCCTAAATTAATATGGGTGACTTGCTTCCCGGTATCCAGAAACTCACTGAATTTGACTTCGTTCAGCATGTCTTCAATCTAAAAGGAGGAACGAGGTGCCATCAGATTCTGAGAAATCTTTCAAAACCTGGCCTTGTAGGAAGTTGTGGTCCACCAGCAGCTTCCTGGGGGAAGGATATTGCAAAATCCCCATTCCCTCTCCACTCCTGGGGGAAGGATACTGCAAAATCCTCATTCCTGCCCCACTCTGGGACCAGCCAGAGGTGGTATTTGCCGGTTCTCCGAACTACTCAAAATTTCCGCTACCGGTTCTCCAGAACCTATCAGAACCTGCTGGATTTCACCCCTGGATCCTTCCCACCCATTCCCTGCCCCTGAAAACCCACTGACCTGATCCTCGGAGGGGTAAAACCCCATCGCACGGATCACGAAGGGGACCTGGTCCAAGGGAATGTGAGTAGACACCTTCCTAGGTTCCATGGTGTCGATGCCTTGATGGACCAGCTGGGCGTAGTAAAAATAGTCTTCCAGTTCCTGAACATGTAACAAAGGATCTTGAGCGTGCAACAATAGCGTGCAACAGAGGGAGTCCACGACGTACAACCACAATTGAGCCCAAAACTTTCCATTGCTAAGTGAGACAGTTCTTAAAAGGGAGTCATTTCCCTGTTTTACGACCTTCCTTGCCATAGTTGCTAAGTGCATCCCTTAAATTAGTAACACAGATGTTCAGTGAATCCAGCCTCCCCACTAACTCAGGAGGACACAAAATGGGATTCCATGAGGATCCTGGGACACTGCAACCATCATAAATGTGAGTCAGTTGCCAAGCGTCTGAATTTGTGATCACGTGACCCTTGGGGGATGCTGCCACGGTCATAAGTGTGAAAAGCGGTCGTAAGTTACTCTTTTCAGTGCCGGTCACTAAACGGTCACTAAACGGTCACTAAAATTAATGTCAAGGATTACCTGTAATACGACATTTGGCCTGGTGTCTGTCTCAATCAGCCTTTAGTGCAATGTTTCTCAACCTTGGTAGCTTGAAGATGGGTGGACTTCAATTCCCAGAATCCCCCAGCTAGCAGCACTGGCTGGGGGATTCTGGGAGTTGAAGTCCACCCATCTTCAAGCTACCAAGGTTGAGAAACACTGCTTTAGTGTCTCTGTGAAAGGCTTTTATTTTCTGAATCCCTCTATTTTGACAGCCACTGTTGTGTTGGGGTGTGTTTTGGGGTGTTACCCAGCAGTGAAATCCAGCCAGATCTATCCAGTTCGCACGAACCAGCAGGAGGTTCCGCCCACCCACCAGGACGTCATTACGTCCCGTTTTTGATCCTCTGAGCATGCGCAGAAAAGGCGTTTGCGAGCGCTCACATTTCTGAACCAGTAGCGAAGGTAAGTGCATTTCAACCCTGGTGTTACCTAAACACCAAACCAAGCAGATTTACCTTGAAAAACGCACCATCTCGGCCTCCTTCCAACAGGTTGTAAAATGGGATCAGGTCTTTGCCACCCAGGAAAACAGCGGCATCCAGAGCGCTGGAGGAGGAGGCAGGGAAGGGGGTCCCTGGTTAGAAGACCCTGCAGGGAGGCTCTTGGTTCCTCACCTGCCTCCTGGCTGCCAGAAAGAAATCAAAGTTCCCCACCTTGGAGGAACTGAGCAACCTAACCTCCAGCTCTGTGTTTCTGGCAACCTGAAGATGGGTGGACTTCAACTCCCAGAATTCCCCAGCCAGTCGGGGCTTACCTCCCAGCCCTACAAACGAACCAACACTCACTCAAGATTCACGTCCCACTTCATCACCGTTGAGTCGCTGCCCCCCGCCGTGAAGAGATAGCGTCCGGTGTAGGAACAGGTGAGATCGGCCACCCCTGCAGGGTGGCAAATGAAAGCCGAGGACTTGTGAGGGTTCCCATCGATGGGCAAGATCTGCAGGCCAACCTAGAGAAGAAGATGGGAGAGAAGAACCTGCCTGGAGGAATTTGAAGACCCAAAGGGAAAGTACCTTCATGTCACCTCCCAGTACCTTGTCTTTTGTGATGTAGGCCAGGTAGCGCTTCTGAGGATCCTGGTCCTCACCCAAGGGAAGGATGGCAAACTTCTCAAGAGGAGAACCATAGGTGGGTCCCAAAGCAGTCTTCCTAAAAGAAGCACGTCATGAAAAAGCTTGGCAGCCCCAACCAGCTCATACCAAACACAGGTCCTTCTCCCGTTAGCTCTGTTGCCTTACCACCCCAGGGAGGAACCTTGCCTGGTTCTTCCCTTGGGTCATGGTTGGTAGGCTTGGATTTGATAAGGCAGGACAGTCTGAGCTGGCTCACAGTCTAAGCTGAAAATCGCCCTAGAAAACCATAATATTTGGGCCTAGAGAAGTGACGTGGCTAAAGGCAATTTAACGAAATTACATCTTAGTGTTTGTGGGAACCAAATCAGGACACAGTGCAAATAAGATATTGGATTCTGTTGCTTGGAAGGCCATCACAGATCTATCCATCTATCTAATCAATCTATCAACTTCTATCTATCTCAATGTTTTCCAACCTTGTCAACTTTAAGATCGGTGGACTTCAACTCCCAGAATTTCCCAGCCAGTGTAGCTTAGTTGGTTGGGTTGAAGTCCACCCATCTTAAAGTTGACAAAGTTGAAAAACACTTATCATCTCTCTCTCTCTCTCTCTCTCTCTATCCATCCATCCATCCATCCAACCAACCAACCAACCAATCTAATCTAACCTAACTACCCAACACAATTATATTTCACCATTGCTTCAGAAACGCAAGTACCAGCTCTCTTTCTTCCCCAAATCACAACAATGACAACCCAATGAGATCTATTGCCTGGAGGGGATGCCAGCCCAAAGTTACTCACTATGTGTCTGTGACTGAGGTCGTCTCCCACTCCTAGTCCAACCCCACCTCCTTACAGGCCAGAGCCTGACCCTTTGCGGACATCCACCCACACAAGGATTTTCCCCAGTCAACTACCTGCACAACTTGGTGGTCACATTATAAAGCTTCATTTTGTAGTGATCATTGGCGGTGAGGAAAAAGTACTCGGTTGTGATTGGGGGATACCAAGCGATATATGTGGGGACAGCGCTCTGCTCAATCCGGTCTCTTCGGATTACCACCAGCTCGTCTTTGACGGTTTTCGCCAAGTCGTATTCCACCTGAAAAACCAAGCAATGCAGATCCAACAATCGCACCGACAAGTCTTTGCTTGGTTGCTCTGCAGGGAGACGTTTCAGAGTAGCATCATTAGGTCTAACTGAGTTGGTTTGGCAAATGGACCACCACTGATCCAACTGAGTTGGTCCACATGTTGACCCAGATGTTGGCCACTTGTACCTTTCAACTCAAAAGGCAACCGAGTCTTCCTGTTTAGCTTGGGACTTGGTGGCCATATCTCACTACAGATCCAGAATCCTCCAGATTCCCATCTTGTCTTCTGGAACTCACCTTCCTCCTTTGACTCCAGGCCAACCTGCGTTGTTCTGAATGAACAACTGCCGAGGTTTGTTGGTCCTGGAACTTTTCCAGGCGGAGACTCCAGTTGGGTGGTCTATTTTTACCAGGTATGCCCAACCACTGGACTTACCAAGAGCCGGTCTTCTCCAAGACTTAAGAGCCGTGGCTCACTACTATCTAGGTGTACCCCAAAAAGAAGGGTGCGAATCGGCTTGTAGTGGGAGTGGAGGGCAGCCAGGCGGTCCCAGACTTTCTTTTCCTCCACGACAACTTTTTTATAAAGGTTCAACGACAGTCTTTCATCCTAAAAGACGAGAAAAATCAACTAGGAAGGAAAAACCAGTATTCTAGACGTTGCAGTTGACACGTTTTCAAGTTGCCAGTTTTGAGAAAACCCTCTTTCGTGGAGAGTTAGAAGGAACAATGAGGTAATACCAGTGGTGAAATCCTCTGCAGTTTGCCACTGGTTCGCTGTGCCAAACGCACGCTGTGCATGGAAAAAGGAGGTTTGACAAGGTAAGTAGAACAGCGAGGGGGAGAACAGCTGTGCCGCGCGATTTAGATTCGCTAGAAAGCAAGATTCCTTGCTTTCTAGCAAATATAAACCACGTGACACAGCTGATCGTTGGAAACACCTGTTCAGATGAACCGGTAGCTTTTTTCTACTACTGGTTCTCCCGAACTGGTGTGAACCGGTAGCATTTCACCCCTGAGTAATACCCAGAACAAGGGGTGGCCCATAGGAAACAGAAGTGGGACGAGGTCATGGAGAAAGACGTTCACTACTCACGGCTGTGGCAAGATATTCAGAATTTTGGGAGAAGCTCATGATAGTGATGGGTCCTTTTGAGTAGTGGAAAGGATCTGGATGGTCATTTACCAACGATATGGAATCAAGGATATAAAGACCTCCATTCAGAAATCCAGCAGCTAACAAAGAACCTAAGATGCACATCAAAAAAAAAATCCAGTTGGTCCAAAATCCGGTAAAATTCTGGAGATCATTGAGACACTGTTTGTTCATAAGTCATGACTGTCCTCATAAACCAGGGTTGTTAAACTCAAAACCTGGGGGCCGGATCTGGTGCTTACATCTGGCCCTGGAAACATCAAAGGACCAACCTGCGGTGCCTCTGCCAGTGAAAACGGAGCTCGGGAGCCACCACAGGCACTCCCGACATGAGTGACGTTGAACTGGCCATGCCCACCCTGGGCCCCCAAGGTCAAACACAACCCTGATGCAACCTTCAATGAAATCGAGTTTGACACCCCTGTCATAAACAAAATCCTTCCATGATGTTTCTCCAAAAGGACTCCTAACAACTTTAATTATGAGTGTCCACCATGCAGGGACTCTCTAGACATCACCAGAAATGGGATTCAGCCGGTTTGAACCGGTTTGGGTGAATCAGTAGTAGCAACCTGCGCCCACCTGCCCAGGCACAGTCCTGTCCTATATCGCAATAAGCAAATAATTCTTTAGACAAGAATTGTAATTGTTTAGGATTCTCTTCCTCAGGCAGAAATTGAGCCCAGGGAGAGGAGTGACTTCCAACCAGACAAAAATAGGAGAAGGAAGGACAGATGATTACCGTCATGATTGTAAGAGAGGCAGCTGATGCTTTCGCCCTTAAAGATTCGGCTGACGAGGTATTTGTTCAGGAGGTAGCTCCAGACTTTCAGAAGGCCACAGTAGCTGCCCTTGGCCAGCAGAGGTTTGCAAGGGTGGCAGGCGACGGTGTGAACAGCGTCCTTGGGTTCCTCCAGGCACTTGGTGACTTGAGTTCCCTCCGTCTTGACGTGAATTACCACGGCATCCGAGGTCGCCACGATGAAATTCCTGCCTCGGGGGGCAAAAGGTTGCAAATTTTGGACCCCCAACCCAAAAGAAATTTGCGTTCTTTTCCCCAGCCTCCGGGGGGGGGGGGGCATTCCCTTCATTCAACCCCCATCGTGGCCAACAGAATTTTTTTAAAAAAATCTCTGCAGAGCACCGAGATCTGCTCACCTAATAATGAAGGGGTTACCAGACAAGGTGCACGATTCAGGGTACTTGGTGATGTCTTCAGGAGTGGCAGGTTTCTTGGAGAAGGAGAAAGACCGGATGGATCCCAGTTTAAACTGGCTGTACCAGTGCGTTAGCTGCAGGTCCCCGTCGTAGAATTTAATGTGGCCTCTGATGTCGCAGGTTACAAACAACCTGGAAAGAAGATCAAAGGATATAGAAGTCAGGGGTTTTTTTCTCTCGTTTCCAGGCACCAGGTTCTCGAGATGGGCCTGCCTTTGAGAAGTGCCTGTTTGGGGGCTGGAGTTTGAAAAACTTAAAAATTCAGTTTTGTGAATTGCGTTACTGGGTCACCTGCTCTCCCAAGGGTGAACAGGTGCAAAGTGGGATGTTGAGCTTAGCTGCAGCACCCTCTACTGGCCAAAAGAGGAAAATAGGGTTTTAACCCTATGACCATTTTCCCCTGAGTTCGGGGTATGTCCTCCACTTACGACCCTTATTCAGCAAGTCGTGACCCGCTTACTCGTCCATGATGACCAAGATGGTGATGGCATCTTTCTGTAGATGCACCAGCTTGATGGATTTCATGTTGTACAGTCGGTCGCACAAAGTTTGCAACGGCGTGCAAACGGTGTCCCAGATTACCAGTTTCCCTTCGGAGGTGGCAGTCAACGCTTGGGAAGTGCGGAAATGGAAACGGGATTGGCTGAATAATCCCACCGCCTTGTTGAAAGTCTGCAGAGGGATCACCGTTCCAGGAATGAGGCTCTAAAACATCTACGCCAAAAATCTGGGTCTGCAACTTCTATCAGGTATATACACAGGCGGACCTCAGTTTACAGCCACAATCGAGCCCAACATTTCTGTTGCTAAGCAAGGCGGTTGCTAAGGGAGTTCACCCCCTTTTACAACCTGTCTTGCCTCAGTTGTTAAGTCAATCACTTCAGTTATTAAATTAGTAATACGGTTGTTAAGTGAATCTGGCTTCCTCATTGGCTCTGCTCATCAAAAGGTTGCAAAAAGAGGATCGTATGACCCCAGGACATTGCAACCGTCATAAATATGAACCAGTTGTCAAGCGCCTGAATTTTGGCGTCGCCTTGGGGATACTGCAAAAGTGTGAAAAATGAAGAAGAAGAAGAGGAAAGAGAAGGAGGAGAAGAGGAAGAAGAGGAGGAGAGGAAGGAGAAAGGATGAAGGAGGGGGAGGAGGAAGTAGAAAAGGAAGAAGAAGAGGAAGGAGGAAGAGGAAGAAGGAGGAGGGAGGAAGAGGAAGGGGGAAGAGGAGGTGGAGGAAGTAGGAGGAAGTAGAAGAGGAAGAAGAAGAGGAAGGAGGAAGAGGAGAAGAGAAAGAGGAGGAAGAGGAGAGGAGGAAGGAAGAGGAAGGAGGTGGTGGTCTTGGCTTCCAGGGGTCTTTAAACCCCTTTTATACATTTGCTACCCCTCCAATGAGATCCTGCAAAGAACACGCCCCATCCCAAGCATTTCAAAGTCTCCAGTAGTTTTTGGGGGACATGGACTTACTTTGTCTGTCAAGAGAGGAGCGTGGTAGAGCAGAGTGTTATCCTCCTAGGGAGACATAGAAAGAAGAGAGGGAGAAGTCTCTCAATCAAAACTCTCCAACCTTAAGACTTGTGGACTTCAACTCCCAGAATTCTGCAGGGGTATTCTGGGAGTTGAAGTCCACAAGTCTTAAGGTTGTGAACCCCAGCTCTAAATGTTTTAATCAACACCTTAGAAGCCATCTCCAGTTGCTCTCCAAGGTATGGAAGACACAAGGACATCCTTCCAAGATCTCCTCCTTCAAAGCCTGAACTAGACCATCGAGAACTTCTAATTGTCGACCTTGCTCGCTGGGAATTTTAGGAAGGTCGCCCCTCCCATCCTCCCTGGAGGATGCAGGTTTAAGAAGGTAGGTTTTTTTTGAGTACGATACCCAAAGAGAGCAGGGTTGGGGGGTGCCTCACTTACTCACTCACTTTTACTTACCCACAAGTAGAAGACGACTTGGCTTTTGCTGTTGCTCACCAGCTCCTTCGCAGTTTGGAGACTGAATTCAATGTAATTCTGAAAGAAAGACGAAATTTTGAGCGTCCCCATCAAAACTGCATTTCGTACCTGAACACACCACACAACCCAGTTTCGCTTCCCGAGTCTTTAGCAATTCTGTCTGAAGGTAAAAACTTTGGTGGCACCAAACTGTGGCTTCACCCAGCTGGGCAGACAATGGCTTTTAAGCTCTTCCTTGCCGTGACGAACAGTTATTCTTATTTTGATTTTTTTCCATTCCTGCCAAAATAATGCTGGAAAAAGCTTAGGAGGAAGACAGAGAGCTGGTGGGGCGTTTTTCTCCCCTGTCGATATTTCGCGGGTCAGCTAGAAGATGCACTGAGTCAGATCCATAAATGGAGCATTTTGCCATCGGGGGTGCAGCTTATGGGATGTATCCCTGAACATTTGGGAAGTGAAAACAGCAGCTGCGTTGAAACGTTGGTTAAGTTTGCTGCCCTTGGAATTTCAGGAGCGGAAAAAAAAAAAAACCTAGAATGAAGCAAATGCTAATTTGGTAAAAGAATGTTTTCGAACAAAAACTCCGGCTATTAATAAATAGTTTATCCACCTTCCTCTGCCCCACAAATTCGTATTTATGCCCTGCAGGAAATTTTGCCAAGTTTTGCACAGGGAAAAAAAAGTATCCATCATAATTGCTGCGGCTCTCTTGCATGCCCGCAATCAGAGATCTCTCACCTGGAATCCAAATTGAGGTGGGATCTCCACACTGCAGAACGGCTTGTTGTCCAGCGTCGTCCACTTCCAAATTGAAACTTTCTGAGATAAGGAGAAAAACACCATGGATGGTGGACGGGTGGGTGGGCAGGAGGACAGAGTGCATGTTAAGGAATTTGCAGAATAACCCTTGAGTAGCAGGGGTGTGCTCATGAAAGCGATTGAGAGTAGTTACAAATAAACACACAGATACACTGAGTTGTGTTTACTTTCAGGAAATAGTAAGGCACGGTCCAATAAACAGTCCAGGTCATACACATATGAAGCAGGAGATAGCCAAAATGACAGTCCAAGAATAATCCAATAACAAAGTCTTCTTACCAGTTGTCGTAGTCATTTACAATAAACAGTTCTTCTGGATTTGCAAACAGTAGCATACAGAGATATCAGAGAGCAAGAACAGCAAAGAGAACAAACCATGTTTCTAGCTCCCTCTTAAGGAGATTGGCTACAGAGCTAACCAATCAGGACACAGTATGTTGCAATACAGCAGTCTTAAAGCTACACTGATGGTTTATATATTGCCAACCCAACAAGTTAGGTAATAGTCATTTCCTAACAGTGTGTTTCTAAACGACAAGATAGTTGGTGTTCCTATCCACAAGTTACGAACCGGCCTTGCCTCACAACTGCTTTCCCTCCAAAACACTTAAGAAACTCTACAAAAGGCTTCCTTTACCTGCACTTCTTCGGCTCCAACGGTAGCCAGGAACTTGGAGTCGTGGGAAAGGGTGATAGCGCTGACTCCTCCTCCGGGGTGACTGTCAAAGATGGTGTGGACAGGTATCCTGAAGAACAAGATGTCTGCAGTTGTGGCTGAGTGGAAGAGACTCCATTTTGTGGGGGCCAATTTAAGCATCTGAACTGGGAGGAGAACTCAGTAGAGCTATCGGACGAGGTCTGGAGATCTCCAGATATCTGCATAGTCCTTACATACCTGAACATAATTAGTTGAATAACTGAGGATGTAACCTAGTTGGATCATGAAAGGTCTACAAGCCAACCACCAAGATCAGAGAGCATCAAGGACCCAACAGTTCTCCTCCTCTTCCACCTCTTCTTCTTCTTCTTCCTCCTCCTCCTCCCCTTCCCTCCTCCTTCCTTCAGTCCTCAAACTCCTCTCCCTTCTACCACTGATGATATTACCTAGTTGGATAATGAGACATCTACAAGAAAACAACCAAGCTCAAAGAGCACCAGGAACTCTACAGTATAATCCTGAGCTACAAATATTATCTTCTGTTGGAATAATTAATTCAACTGGGCAGCTTTCAACCAGAAATGTCTTTGAAGGTGAAGCCTATTATTTCATTCACTTTTAACAAGATAAACTGAGGTAGATCTTGCTGGTTCTACAGTAAGGGGGGTCTCCAAACCTAGCAACTTTAAGATTTGTGGATTTCAACTCCCAGAATTCCTCGTGGTGGCTGAGGAATTCTGGGAGCTGAAGACCACAAGTCTTAAAATTTGCCAAGTTTGGAGACCCCTGTTGTACAGCAAGAAATAAGATTTCCTTTTCAGTTCAAAAGAAGTTTTTCTGAATTCCTGCTCTAATGGTCACTGCATTTGGCCAACGTTTTGTTGGGTGCTCCAAGGAGACAACTCAACTCAGAAGATCAAGAGGTACCATAGCCTGCTATCAAGAACAGGAGAAGCTCATCCTGCAGCCGCCAGAACCTTACGCAGAGTAGCTGTCCCAGAGGATCACCATGCTGTCAGGACCTCGGTCAGCTGTGGCAATCCAGCGCCGGTCATCGCTGACACAGATGCAAGAGATGCAGCTGGAATGTCCCTAAAAAACACGGGAGGTCTCAGAAGAAATAGACGCCCTTGTGGTTGAGGTGATTTTGCCCATCTGCTCCTTCTCATGATACCTAAGGCTCAGAAGATGTGGGGGCTGTAGCATCACCTGGAGAACTTGGTCTTACCTGCAGGAGGTACTGTTTATTCTTTAAGATGTCATGGATCACGGCGGTGTGAGCAGAGACGTACAACAGCACCCGTTGATCTTCATCCAGAAGGTTGAAAACAGGCAGGTGGCTGTTGTAGCCAAAGACCCAAGTCAAGCTCTGGAAGAAATGTCAAACTCAAATTATTGTCCCAAGACATTCCAAAGGACCATCCAGACTAGCCCAATTAGAAGGCACCCAACTAAAAATCATAAGAGGGGTTGTATGGGAATCCAGATGTTGGAAAGCATTAACTGCCATCTCTTCACTGTCCTTCACCCAGACTCACAAGAGGGTGATTGGAGAGCGGTTGAGTCTTCTCTTCAAACAGCATCCCTGGGAAGGCGGATAAGACAATCGAATCTTCCTCCTGGAACATAGTTGCACTGCTGGCAGTGGTTTGGGTCCTGGACGTCTCACTCTCTTTTTGGGAAGTCCCCATGCCTGTCTCTAGACTGGTCATTTCACTATCGCTTGGTGGTTCTTGGCTTCTGACGGACATCTTGGACTTCTCACTCTCCAAGGCAGGAGTTGTTGAACCTGCCCTGCTGGTGGACCTCCTACTTTTTGAGGACACTGGTTCTGGGGAGACGCTTTTAGCTGATTCTTGTTCCACAGGACTACCTTCTTCTGTTCTGGCCTCTGGGAGTTTTTCAGTGCTAACTGGGCCTCTTTCATCATCCCTGGTGCCAGGACTCCTGTCATCCTCTCCGCCAGCTTCAAAGAGATTGTTTCCTACAGGAACCTCTGAAGATGGGGATGTTTCTTTTGACTGCATCTGCTCTTTGGCCTCATCTTCAGGCGTCGGGGTCCTGATTTCTTGTCCCTGAACAGCAAAATAGAATTTGTAGCCGAACCTGGAAGTTGCTTCCCTGCTTTCTCCTAATTTGCCTGATTTTCAATCTTTACCTGGATTATTCCATTCTGTGCTTCCAAATATACAATTCAGAGGCTCTTTTGGGATGACTGGGACATCCCCAGCCTTTCTATGCAACAGGATGAGCCAACTGCCTCCAGCACAAATTATTACAAATATTATTTACTAAAGTTATTTTCATTCATAAGAATTAAGTCTTGAAATAATTAAATCAACAATATGAGTTGAAGTCCACCCATCAAGTGGCCAAGATGGAGAAACATGGTTTTAAGGAGATCCAGCAAATAACAGTCAATGGCAAGAGATGTTGTGTTGATGATATGGCCAATAGTAGGTCAACAGTTGTCCACTTCCAGCATCTCTTGCCATGGACCACAGTTGCTGGAACTCCTGAAATCAGTATTTCTCAACCTTAAGCCACTTGAAGATGGGTGGACTTCAGCTCCCAGAATTCCCAGCTTCCTGACTTGGCTTCCTACTTACACTTGAGGGTACCACAATCAGAGGACCGATTTTCGGCAAAGAAATACTATTTTCCACCCTTAGGAAGCCAGCTTCTTGGTCCTCTTGGCTGAAGGGATCGGTCTCCTCAGGAGTTTCTGGAACTTCCAGGCGTTCCTTTGAGGACTTCTCTGAATAATTCCATGAGAGGCTACTCTTCTCATCGTCCTCCATTGTCTCCTGCAAATATTTGTAGGGTTGAGAGAAAGTTGGAATGGCATTAGTTGGAAAATGACGGTGTCAACTCACAAAGCATCCCTGGCCTGCTCTCAAGTTGCCATAGGCAAGAGGGATAGGAAACCGACAACGCAGCATGGCAGCCAAAAAACAGAAGCACATTCCAGCCTTATCTTTCTCAAGGCCATCTCACAGGGTTACCCACAGCTGCTGGAGGGGAGTGATCTCTACAACCCACGAAACTGCTCCATTGGTGAATGTGATTGATGACACACCCTGGGGGGAGGGGGGAAACAGGGTCATGATTGGGGCATAAATTACGTGGGGTCAGAGTTGGCTTCGCTTGGGAACTTGCGGACACGAAGCTCCTAATAAATAACTGGATTTCTTTTGAAGCTTGGCTCGAGGCTCATGATTTAATTAGGGCATCCGTCGGAACCGTGGCAGACGGTTCCCTTCCCCAAAAGTTGGGGTTCATTCCAAATTGAGGGAAAATAGCCACGTTTGGGCTGAGAAACGTGTCCAGAATCCCCATAAAAGACCTCTGGGTTTCATCTTTAAGTTTGGCAGAGTTGCCAGCTTCTTCTTTGAGTCCATGCCAGTTTCCAGGCATTCTAGGAAGCTTTGCCCCATGGCCCTACCCAGCTTCCTCAACCTCAAGGAGTTGCCAGAGAAGCCGTAATTTCCCAAATCAGATTTTCCTCACCAGCTGGCAACCTCCGATCTTGGCTTCCTCAAGCAGAAAGGTTGAGATTAAAGATAAAGAAGATACAGAATATTTTCAAACATGGGACTTGTTTTATCAATGGCTGGACAACAGAAGTAGAAATTAGAAATTGGAAAAATGCTACCGTGTTTTCCCGAAAATTCCTGTCTTATATTTTTTTGAACCCTGAAATAAGTACTTGGCCTTACTGCCATGCACTCAAAAGTCCAATTGGGCTTATTATCAGGGGATGCCTTATTTTGGGGGAAACAGGGCATTGTGTGTGTCTTATGTTCAATATATTACTATATTATATACTATTATGTAAGCAAATTGATTTAAGACAATATGCTGGGTCATAAAATTATATAAGTTAAGGAAAAATACATATATTATTTTAAAAAAAGAACAAGTTCCTTCAACCACAATTCAGAAGTGGGTCACCTTGGCCTTCCTCCAGGATTTTGTTCAGATTTCCATTCCCACTTACACCCCATCATCTCCCAGTGGCCTCCTTTCCCAGGTTTGACCAGCTCTGGTCTCCCTTAGCTGGGAGTTAAGCAAGCCAAAGTCTACTTTCACTCCATCAAAATAAATCACAACTGACAAAACAACACAACCCACAGAAGCCCCCCAAAAAGACTTTGCAGAAATCCTAACCCAGAAGTTCCACCCCAATCGTTGTGTTTCATTTCCACACACACACACACACACACGGGAGAAACCAACAATGGTTTCCCCTTTTCCTTCTTTTTGTGGCTTAGACGATCCCACAAACCATCATTTCAGTCTTCAAGCCTTGCTGATTTTCTCCCTTTCTCAAAAAAACCTGTCCTCACCTGCCCGCCTTCTCAACTCACCTGCAGGCTCCAACTCCAGCAGCGACTGTTTGCATCCCAGTTCTGGTTGCCATAGCAACCGCCAGCCGCCTGCAAACAACTCCCGGTCTGAGTTTTCATGCTTGGCAAGTGATGCAAAGCTTTGCTTTCCCCAAATTTCCAAAGATTCAAAGCCGGATGAGGCAGTCTAGCGAGATTTCCTTTCTTGTCTAACCAGACGCCTCTTTTCACACACCCCAAAAAAACCTTTTAAACCAGACGCAGGGTTGATTTTTTAATCTATTAGATTTATTCCAGGCGGTTTGACTTTTTCCTTACCCCTTTCTTTTCCTTTTTAATTTTTTTGTTATGCTTTTCTGAAATGTAGTTTTATATAAAAGAAGTTAGATGAACGGGGGGAAAAATATCTTCTGATTCCAAAAATTCCCAGCTTGGCTCTGGGGTTCAACATTTCTGCTGGGCCTCCAGCACTTCAAAAAGTTTTTTTAAAAAACGAGGAAAGGATCCAGTTGATAAGGCTGATTTTATAATCCGTGGTTCAGAAAAGCAGCAGCAATGTACAACGTTCTCTCCTCCTTCCCGATTTTGATCCCACGTCCTAGAGATCAATTATAGGCCGACCTCACAAATGAGGATCTCAGCTGGAGAAAAATCAAGCTGGTTTCTTCGCAGGCCAGAGGAAAAAAAGTCGGAAGTGCGCTACTGTTTTTCCTCTTCCCTCACCAGCGCTTTTTTCCTTTTGATGTTCTGTAGACGTATTTGAATAACAAAGAAAAGCATCTGAAACACCTACCTTGTAACAAGATTTGGGAAGAAAAAAAAATCAGGCTGCAAATCCAGAAAACTTTGCTGCAGATTTTCAATTTTGTACTATTTATTGTCAGGGCTTGTATTGCTAATCACTGCACTGATTGCCTTTTTAAAAAAAAGACTCAGGATGACTTTTATTGTAAGTGACAATACAAAATGCGTCAGGTAAAATTTTACCGCACTTCACAGAAACGATCAAGGACGAAAAAAACAAAACAAAACAAAAGAATTAACACCAGGAGGAATGGTACAAATCTTTTATTGTCTAATTCTCGAACCAAACAAGGAAGAATCCAAAGGTAGGCCACAAAACTACTGTAAATTGCTCAATCCTGCAATGAAGCCAAAAAACTCTCTTTTGTCCTTACGCCCAAGTTAAAACGTACTAAATACCCTTTGGGAATCAGGGGAAAAAAAAAAAAGTCAAACGGCATCTTCAGGAAAACACAGGAAAACCCCCTAATTCCAAATTCATTTTCGCCATTTCAGCTTGTTCGGGAAGATGCTAACGTCAAAATGACACGTCACCAAACATACAATCAGGAGTTGAATCGTCACCAGAAGTCATCTTTGCAAAGGGACAATATTGCAACTGGGGGTCGGGAGGAAAAAGAGAAAAAGCAAATTAAACCTTCAGTAAGCATCAGATTAAGCGTTAAGGTTAAGGGAAGGTTAAGGGACGTGGTGGCTCAGTGGCTAAGATGCTGAGCTTGTCGATCGAAAGGTCGGCAGTTCAATGGTTCGAATCCCTAGTGCCGCATGACAGGGTGAGCTCCCGTTCCTTGTCCCAGCTTCTGCCAACCTAGCAGTTCGAAAGCAGATAAAAAATGCAAGTAGAAAAATAGGGACCACCTTTGGTGGGAAGGCAACAGCGTTCAGTGCGCCTTTGGCATTGAGTCATGCCGGCCACATGACCACGGAGACGTCTTCGGACAGCATTGGCTCTTCGGCTTTGAAACAGAGATGAGCATCGTCCCCTAGAGTTGGGAACGACTAGCACAGATGTGCGAGGGGAACCTTTACCTTTACCTTTAAACATCAGATAGTACAAACACCCTGACTTTCATTACACATAATTTACACAGAGGGAGGCACAATTCTAGGGCTGTTTTTCAAACATTCAAATAGATCAAATATGCTCCAGAGTGGAAAAGTTTGGCAATACCTACAAAGGAAGAATGGTTGGTGAAGATGATGGAACTTGCAGATAACTGAATTAACTTCTTTGATTAGAGGGGAAAAAAACCCAGTATCTATATTGATGGTTGGCTGGAAATCTCTTACAGATTTTTTTGATAAAATAGGGGGAAAAATGCACTTATAGTTTTGAGGGCTAAATTAAATAGATGGATTAATTAAATGGACAATAAAAAAGAAATAGCTTTCTTTTCTCATCAGAGTAAGAGATAATTTGTACTTATATTTGCTGCAAAGAAAATTGGAAGCTTCTATTTCTTTTTATTCTTTCTTTGTATCTTTCTGTCTTTTTTTCTTTCTCTCTCTTGTCTGCCTTTACTTGTTATTCTGTTCTGTTCGCTTTATTCTCTCTTGGTAAAACTTTGAATAAAAATCTACATAGAAAAAGAACTTTAATGAGATCAGGATGGAAATCTTTGGATTTCTCTTCTAGTTCCACAAAACCCTGTCTCACCATCACAATTTTTATTTAGTTTCTTTTTCCAGGATTATTAATCTTGGGGACTGAAGAGAACTAAGGATAACCAGAGGCTGGCCACTCTTTCTCTGAGCTTTTTAATTCTCGGCTCTGCGGAATTTCGGTCACTGAAGCATCTTTTCCAGAACTGATTGGAAAGGAGGAAAGAGTCGGGGGCCAGGTTAAAGTTTGAGGATACTTACCCCAAAAGTCCTTTCCCACTCCAGCGCTTCGGGGTGAGCCCCAGATGGACTTTTTCCCCTCTTCGGATCACAGTCACGCGTAAGGGTTTCTGCAAAGAGAAACAAACAAAAATAAATCAAAATATTTCACCCGTTCAGTCTGGTTTATGTGGCTAATGGTGGGGGTGAGAAGAGCTACAATGTTAGGGGTCCAAAGGAGACCCTTCCAGCCTCTTTCCAGACCCCCAAAGAAAACAAGCCACTCACATCCTCGCTGTGCTGCACCACAGTGGCAATGTTCTGCAACGACTGGAAATTCTGGCTGTTCACCGAGCCAAACTCGGCAATCTCGTCGCCCGCTTGCAAACCCTGTGGAAAGAAGCCAAAAAGATCCTGTTGTCTCTTCCCAGGAGAGCAGTTTTGAGATCCCAAAGAGCGCCCGGGTCTCGAAGAGATTATTTTTTTGATACCAGCCCTCCTTGTAAGCCTTTTGTTACTCTGATAAAAAGAGGAGGCACAGAAGAGTCTATCAGGTGGCTACGACAAAGGGACAATATATCTAATATTCTTGACCGCAGCAAGAATTGTACATGCGCAGCAGTGGAAGAACCAAAAAAACCCCTTCAGATGATGAGACGATAAGGAAGATACTACACCAGTGACGGCTAACCTTTTTGCCATCGTGTGTCAAAAGCAGGGGGAGTGCGGGGGAGGAGCACACGCGTGTGCCCACACCCATAATTCTATGCGCCCCGCCCCCCCGCTTTTGGCACACGATGGTACAGTGGGCCTGGTAGGCCCGTTTTTTTTGCCCTCCCCAGGCTCCAGAGCCTTTCTAGGAGCCTGGGGAGGGTGAAAAAGGCCTTCCCCACCCCCACAGGCCCTCTGGAGTCCGGAAACGGCCCGTTTGCCGACTTCCAGTGGGACCGGAAGGCCCGTTTTTCACTCTCCCCAGGCTCCAGAGCCTTTCTAGGAGCCTGGGGAGAATGAAAAACAGGCCTTCCTCCCCACAGGCACTCCGGAGGCCAGAAACAACCTGTTTCCCTACTTCCGGTGAGCCCAGAAGGCCCGAAAATGGAGCTGAGCTCGCGTGCCCACTGATATGGCTCCGTGTGCCACCTATGGCACACATGCCATAGGTTTGCCATCACGGTACTAGACTGTGCGGAAATGGACAGACTAAGGCTAAAAATAAAAGATATAGGAGATACAGAATACTATTCAACATGGAACAGATTCTATCAATGGTTAGAAGTTGGAATGCGAAAGAATCAGGTTAGGTGGACATGGAAAGAGATATTATTTTTAATATTGATATAGGAAGGTAAGTATTAGAATGATAGATGACATACTAGAATATGATGGTCAGAAACTATTGTACAACAAACACTAGCACTGTTTAAAATAGTATATATGTTATTCTGTTTTTTACTTTTGCTTTATGGTAAGTGGAATGCCAGGACAATTACACTGTATTCCAACATATTCCTATGTAAACAATAAAGATATATCTTTAAAAAAGAATCTAAAAAAGGGTCCTTAGCAAAAGACAGGTTGTAATAATTAAGAATAAAGAAATGCCGGAAGCTCCCATCCAGGGGACTCCAGAGCAAGAGAGCCGGTACTTGCCGAGAAGCTGGCCGGGGATCCAGGGCTGACAGTGTTCACTCGGGCGAAGGGCTGAGGCAAGGCCTGGCTTTGGGCTTCGGCACGAGCCTCGGCTTCGTCCCGGTCACGCTTCTCTTTCTCCCGGGCGTGCAGCTGATGCAGACCCTGTTCCACCTGTTGCATCAGGGCTTTGTGATCGTTCTGCAGACCTGAAAGCAGAAGCCAAAATCATCCACCGCCTAAAACAAGAGCAAAAGTGGGTCGCTGGCAGCTACCAAGAGAGATTTCCGGATAAGCCACAGTCATTTGCGTCAGACAAGACCAGGGTCTAAAAATCTAACTTGTTGGAAATCACCTGGTGTCCCTGGATCCCACTTTCAGGCCATTCCTTCCCCATAACAGGTAGTCCTCAACTTACGACCACAATTGGAATTAATATTTCCACCTCTAATCAAGGGGGTTAAGTGAGTTGCGCAAGATTTTATGAACTTTTTTCGCCATAGTTGTTAAGCAAAACTGGCTTCCCTTCTTGCTGTTGTTTGTTGGAAGTTTAGTTTACTTTAGTTTGCTTTATTGTCTGCACCCCGTACAATGAAATTAAATGCCATCTTCAGTGTACATTATAACTATAAAAATAAAACACAAACACCTCCTTCGCATTCTATACAATTGAACTGAAAACCCCTGATATTGCATTAATATTGCACTATACAATAGAACAACAGTAGAATTCAATATAGTTACTACTCTGGGATAGAAGCTATCTTTCAGCGTATTTGTCCTTGGTTTTATTATCCTGTACCATCTGCCAGATGGTAATAGTACCAAAAAAAAAAAAAAAAAAGGGTGCCCAAAAATAGCCGGTTGAGAAGGCTGCAAATGGCGATCCCATGACCCTGGGGTTCTACAATCCTTGTCAATCCTCGCTGGTTCTCAAACATCCAAATTTCAATCATGTGATTGTGGTGAAGCCGCAGCAGTTGTAAGTATGAGGACCAGCGGTTTTTTTTTTTTTAAAGTGCTGTTGTGACTTTGAAAGGTGGCTAAACAAATATTTGTAAGTCGAGGGCTACCTGCCCTCAAATTAGGATAATGGATGTAGATGGAATGAATTAAATTCCATCTCCCTAGGGGGAGAGCCTTCTCTGTGGGGGCACCTACGATCTGGAACGAGCTCCCCCCGGAGATACGGAGGATCCCGGATCTGCGCACCTTCCGTCGCGCGCTTAAGACTTTTTTATTTCATCAAGCTGGCCTGGCCTAAATCTTCTCCCCTTTTGAAATATAAATTTTAATTTGTTTTTAAATTATGGGGTATTTTAAATTTGTTCAGCCAAATTATTTAATTCGTTTTTATTTTATTTTAAATTTTTGTATTTATGTGTTTTATCTTGTGGCTGTTCACCGCCCTGAGTCCTTCGGGAGAAGGGCGGTATAGAAATTTAATAAAATAAAATAAAATAAATAAATAAGTGTTTGAAAAAACAGGAGACAGGGCTTTAAATCTGCCGTTAAATGAAGAACTGGCTGCTTACATATGATGTTGTGTCTCGCAGTCCGGACTTGGTAAATGTCCACATCTGCCCGAGGGTAACCATCACCGTCCACAAGCGGCTCGTTCATCCCAACTCCCTTTTGCTGCAGATGAACAAAATCCAAAGTGCCCCTTTTCAGGTTTTGCTTTCTGCACAAATTACACGCCTTGGGGGAAGCCCTCTTCTGTTTCACGCCGGTTACCCAAACAAACCAAACTTGGCTGGAATGGAAGAAGACGCCACACTGCAAACCACGGTTGACAAACCAACCTGGGCAGCTTCAAGCCGTATCTTCAACAAGCAGCGACAAACCACTGTTTATTTTGGGCTCGAGAGATCAATTTAGCCATAACGGGCTAAGTTGGGGTTACAGCTTGAAAGTTCACTTCAAGGTACGAAATGTACGAAAATTGGATATGGAAACTTCTTTCCAAAGCTCCCGCCAACATTTGAAATCACTGAAGGCTGGAGGGAGCAGCTTCACAAAAAAAATAAAAAATAAAAAATTAAAAAGGTTTTTGCAATGACTCAGCTCTGGAAAGGAGTCCCATGCACTTCCTGTGTTTCTCTTAGCAAAATGTTTTGGTTTTTCTCATCCAGAGTGGGGGGTCTCCAACCTTGGCAACTTTAAGCCTGGCGGACTTCAACTCCCAGAATTCCCCAGCCAGTTTAGGCGTCTCCAACCTTGGCAATTTTAAGCCTAGAGGACTTCAATTCCCAGAATTCTGAGAGTTAAAGTCCTCCAGGCTTAAAGTGGCCAAGGTTGGAGACCCCTAATCCAGAGGACCCCTCCTCTTATGTGGGTATCGTCCCCCCCCACCCATTTTTTGCTTCTGGTGCAGAAGCTGAGAATTCAGCTCCAACCCTTTTAATTCCAGGATCCTTCCCTCTTTCGTCCACCTGCAATCTTTAGGCCACTTTTTCTCAACCTTGAAGATAAGTGGACTTTCCAACTCCCAGAATTCCAAGTTTCCTGCTTCCACTGGAGGGGAATTCTGGGACTTGAAGCCCACCCTGGTTTTTAGGCACTTGCTTGCAAGCCAAGGAGCTTGCAATGCAATGCAATGCAATGCAACGCATTTAATGCAATGCAAACCTCTGTATTTGCAGCCACTACTACCCCCCAGCCCGCCCCCCTAGGCTGGAAAGGCCCTTCCTGCAAAAGCTTTCCCCGTGGATGATGGGACCTGTAGTCCTTTAGATCTCCAGATGGGTTTCCCCCCCGCCCCCCAGACCAGCCCCCAGCCTCTGTCCTGCCACTCACATCCTGCAGGACTTCATAATAGGCCTTGATCTGGGCCTCAATTTCGTCCTTCTTCTTCAGCAGCTCCTGCACGTCGCTGACCGTCACCGGCGGCTCCTGCAAAGACATTTTCCCAGCGAAAAAAACAGCAAACGCTCCAACCTGCGAAGCCAGTTGCAAAAACTACGGGTCGCGGCGGGAGGCCAAAGAGCGCGGATTGCAAAATCCGGTTCCCTGTACGTAACGAGGGGGGGGGGCGGGCCAGTGGAAGGCGAGGGGGCGTGGCCGTCTGACCCCGCCCCCCCTGGAGGGATTCTTTCGTTTAAAGGGAGCGGAGGCGCCTTTGCACGTGGGAATGGCTTGTTTTTTTTTTCCCCTTCCCTAAATAAAAATAAAGGTTCATAAAATAAAAATGCAGCTGGTATAATTTTGAGGCAAGGAAATGCGTAGTAAATAAGGTGGTGTCTGGGGCAGGGACATTTTTATTGATTGTTTTATTTATTTCTGTCGCCAAATTATCTATCTATTATCAATCATATCTCTAGCTATCCACCTCTCCCATCTGTCCTTCCATCCATCTGTCAGTCTGTCCGTCCATCCTATCTATCTATCTATCTATCTATCTATCTATCTATCTATCTATCTATCTATCTATCTATCTATCTATCTATCTTCTATCTATCTCTATTTTATATCTCTAACTATCCACCTCTCCATCTGTCCTTCCATCCATCTGTCAGTCTGTCCGTCCATCCTATCTATCTATCTATCTATCTATCTATCTATCTATCTATCTATCTATCTATCTATCTATCTATCTCTATTTTATATCTCTAACTATCCACCTCTCCCATCTGTCCTTCCATCCTATCTATCTATCTATCTATCTATCTATCTATCTATCTATCTATCTATCTATCTATCTATCTATCTATCTATCTAATCTAATCTATCTTATATCTCTAGCTATCCACCTCTCCGGTCTGTCTATATCTATATATCTATCATTTATCTATCATATATTTCTAGCGTTCCCCCTCTCCCATCTGTCCATCCATATCTATCTATCTATCTATCTATCATTTATCATATATTTCTAGCTCCCCCCTCTCCCATCCATCCATCCGTCATCTAGCCATCTTTTATCTATTTATCATCTGTCTATATCTGGCTACCATTGTCTGTCTATCAATCATGTATCTACTATGTTTGGCCATTTAGTTTGGCAATTTACAGCAATGTTTATTTTTTTTAAAAAATAAGAATTGCTACCCTTTTTATTTCTTTCCTCTTTCCAAGGTCTGGTTCACGCATCCTTACGCTACAGAGAAAGCCACACACGTCCAGGGCTTCACATGCCCTCCTCCCCTCTGTCCGTGCAGCCACAAACGTTGGCTTAAATGTCCAGCTCCCAGCAATCACAGATTCCTTTCTGAACGGAGACATTTTGCCCGTAGCTCTAGCCCAGGTTCTTAGGGAAAGGCCCCATTACGCTGAGAGCGTATGCCCCAAAGACAAATTCCTTGTGTGTCCAATCACACTTGGCCAATAAAGAATTCTACCTATCTACCTATCTATTGGGTTGGTCCCTGGATAGCAGGCAGAGAAAGATAGTTCCTGAGAATTGACATAATTACCTGCTGGAGAAATATTTGTAGTAATTAACCTGGCCTTGATTTATGTTCAGTTTCGAAACCAGTTGTGATGGCTTCGCTTGTAAATAGCATTCTTCTATAAATACATCATATACCTATCGTATCATTCTCCTTTGGAGAATAACCCTGTCTGGCCTCCAAAGGAGAAGAGTAGGGGGCCAGGAATTTTCTATCAATACTCTTCTCCTTCTCCTTCTCCTTCTCCTTCTTCTCCTCCTTCTCCTTCTCCTTCTCCTTCTCCTTCTCCCTCCTCCTCCTCTTCTTCTTCTCCTTCTCCTCCTTTTCCTCCTCTTCTCCTTCTCCCTCTTCCTCCTCCTCTTCTTCTTCTCCTTCTCCTTCTTCCTCCTCCTCCTCTTCTTCTTCTCCTTCTCCTTCTCCTCCTCTTCTTCTTCTTCTTCCTCCTCTTCTTATTCTTCTCCTCCTCCTCCTCTTCTTCTCCTTCTTCTTCTCTTCTTCTTCCTCCTCCTCCTCTTCTTGTTCTTCTTCTCCTTCTCCTTCTTCTCCTCCTCCTCCTCCTTTTCCTCCTCCTCTTCTCCTTCTCCTTCTTCCTCTTCCTCTTCTTCTTCCTCCTCTTCTTGTTCTCCTCCTCCTCCTCTTCTTCTTCTTCTCCTTCTCCTTCTTCTTGCCGGTGATTTTCTGGCCTTGCAACCTTCCCACAGAAGTTGTGCTACCGGGCGATGTCCCATCATTTGTATGGGGTTTGTAGGTGGTTGCCAGATAGGAGATGGCTCCGACAATCTGGGCTGGGATTTGATTTCTTTTTTGATGGCTCCTTGATTAGAACCTCCTTTCTTCCTGCTGTAGGTGTGAGCCCAGAAAAGGAGGGGCCCTGAGCTGTTTGTTGGTTTTCTTCCTAGACGCTTAATTTAATTTAATTTTTAATTTCCAGGAGCTATGTAGACGGGGTGCCTTGATAAGCCTAGAATTGATTGATCTGTTGGATGTTGACATTCAACCTAAAGAAGAGCCTCACATGAACTTGCCCAGGTAAACTCCTTGTCCACTAAAAAAAAAAGAAAAAAGAGATGTCCTGTTGCGCTACCAAAGCCACCTTGACTGATCCCTGAATTTGCAAGACTGCAGTAGCCCCTTCCCTGGCCTGCATATCGGACATAAATACAATCGAGAGAGTCCAGAGATATTTCACGAGAAGAGTCCTCCAACTGCAATAAAATACCTTATGCCACCAGACTCCAAATTATGGACTTAGACAACTTAGAACTACGCCGACTTCAGTCTGACCTAAGCATAGTACATAAAATTATCTGCCACAATGTCCTTCCTGTCAATGACTACTTCAGCTTCAACCACAACAATACACGAGCAAATAATAGATACAAACTCAAGGTAAACTGCTCCAAACTTGATTGCAGAAAATACGACTTCAGCAACAGAGTGGTCAATGCCTGGAATGCACTCCCTGACTCTGTAGTTTCTTCCCCAAACCCCTAAAACTTTACCCTTAGACTGTCTACTGTTGACCTCACCCCATTCCTAAGAGGTCTGTAAGGGGCGTGCATAAGTGCACCAGCGTGCCTACCGTCCCTATCTTAATATTCCTTTTTACTTACTCTTTTCATGTATTCAAATTATGTTTATACTTTTACCTGTTATCTTATATATGCTTGACAAACTAACTTATGATTATGATTATGATTAAGATAAACCTCCATCAAATCTCCTTTCCCCATCAACAAATCTCGTTAAGAAGATCCCGGGATTTGTGCTTTGGGTTTGAATCCGCCGCCCGAGAACCTGAAGGATGGATGCCCTGAGCTCTGCCTCGGTGGACACGATTGAGAAATATCAAGAGTTGTGTTTAAAAAGTTGAAATGTACATCTGGGAAGAGGAGGAGGAGATGCGGGGAGGAGCAGGGGCCCTCCTCCTTTTTTTACAATTCAAAAGATTTCCACACTGTCTCTCTGCCTCTTTCTGCCTTCTCACCTTCCGCTGCTCCAAGGAAAAACCGAAATGGTGAGGGTCCCAAGGTTTAGACCCTTTCCCCCCCTCTTTTTCAATAACTTTTTCACAGGATGTTTACTTCCATTCTCTGGAAGATGGATTCTAAGCTCGGGTTGACCCATTCTTGCAATGCTCTATATTTTCTTTAACTGTACGTCGAATTACTAACATTCTCCCAAATAGTTGCTATTATCTTGCTCTGTATTATACTTGCTTTATATACCAAATGGGTGCTTGGCTTTTCCCTTCTATAAAACTGGCAAACATATTTGAAGACGCTGTTCAAACCTGCAGCATCCCATGAATATCTCAATTTAGTGCCTAAACTCTTTTCTTTTCACAAAAGTGTCGGCTTGGAGAGTTGTTAGATTTATAAGATTTTTTTTTTTAATGGCTGAATATAGACTTGGCTAGATTCTTGCTGTATAAAAATATTTGTCAAAAATTACATGTTCAAATCTGCATGTTATTTGCACTTAACAGAGGTTTTACCATTTAAACTGACTTGGTTAATAAGTTTTTGTTTTGCTCTTCTTCTTTTTTTCCTGGAATAATTTTTAAAAATCCATGCTTTATTCTTATTTTCTACCAGACAACCTATACAGATAAAGGAGAAAAGGTAAGCTCACTTTAAATATTATGTTCTTCTCAAATGTTTTGTTTGGCATTTTTAAGGGTGTTTTAAAATTTTTTTAAAAAAAATTGGGATCAGAGTTTCTTCTTTTGAACGTGCCTATCAGTTGATTAAATAAACAACTATTTATCCTTTAAAACATTCCTCATATTGGAATCCCAAATGCAGTGAAACAGACTACGTAAAAAGCCTGTTTAAAAATAATGTTTTTTTCTTAGGCATAAGAAAACTTGTCAAAATCTTTTCTTAGCAAGCGATGTATATACTGTATCTATAAGAGTGTGCTGATATACTGTAAAAAGAGGTTTCAATTGTGGTTTCAATTTTATATCTATTGAAAAAAAAAACCCACCACATTTATCTTTTATTTAATCTGGTTCTCATTATAACTATGACTTTTCCACACATTACTCAAAGCTGGCTCAGTACCCTGATCTGGGACAAGTAACGAGTTCCAGATTTCTGTCTGCACAACCAAATTATGCATTAGAATGAATAGATAATGCTACAAGCTTATCCCATCAATGCTGGAGGTTGTAAAGAGGCTTAGACGTATTTTTGGGTGATTTTCCATCCAAGTTTAGCTTGCAGTTCTGGAAATCAGCAGCTGGATGTGCAAAAGAACCAAATCAAATATATAATAATTTAGTGCTGGCTTCGCATATTGCGAAATCAGCCATGATTGTTTGGAAATCTTGGTTTATAGAAGCCATGCCCAGTTGTGATTAATTCAACAAACTATCCTGAATGTGAAAAATAACTGGAGCCTCCATTCTCTGGCTCTGACAGACAAATTGAAAAATCCTCCTGAAATGGAGAAGCCTTCGAAAGGTTGAACTTTGCCTGGAGTTTGCAAACATGCAACCTTGCTTTGGGTAAATTCTAAACCCAGTTTTTGGTAATGTCAGAATCAGACCAAGGGCTAAGGTGCTTGCCGAGAAGGGAATGCAACCAAATTCAGTCAGGTGAGAACTTTCCCTCAGTTTGGGAGCTAAAGCAGGGATT